TCTTGAGACTCATTAAAGGCTTTGGTGGTAAATTTCAAGTGGAAAGATCAGTAATTATGATCCTGTACCTGTGCAGTAACATTTTGATTTCTGTGGTTCTTTTCCTGAAATCAATCTAATTAAGTTTAATTTTCCCAAATGAAAAATGTAATCAGTGCTGCAGCCCGTTAAGATGAACTGATGCCTCGTTAAGCAATTTGCTCTAATCCCCTCTATAGCAGTTTTTTTGGATGAAAGGTTGCCTGTTTCGGTAGACACCCTATATTTGTAAGAGCTGTACTCTGCGCAGCTGAGTTCCCTTATCCTTAAAGGGCTGCAGTTCATGTCTGATTGCAGTTTCAGGGGAAGTGAATAGCTGGTCTTCTGCCAGGGTTCTCATAATTAAGTGAATTAAATTGGGTACTGGCCAGGGTGACTGCCCCCCCCCTTGTTAAATCCATGCATATCTTTGCTAGAATAGTGAACCACTACCTTTAATCAACACTGGATGGCAGAGAATGCGATATGATTTTCTCTCGTGTTAATTTTTGCAATGTTTGTTTTTAAAGCAGAGTTTTGCTTAATCCCTAAGTGTTTGTCCATCAGATTCCATGAGAAGTCGTTATGTAAAACGTCTGGCTGTTAAGGACTAAGGAGCGGCCACTCGGTCGCTCAGGCTCTGCATTGTCCTGGGTTTATTTGCTTACTGCTTCCTCAGATGTGGCGATGCCAGTGGAGAATGGTGTTCTCCCCCAGCCGGTGGCCCGGATCCTGTCACCTCCGCACGCGGTTCCCTTAGCCGTGACCCATACTCACATGTCCCCTCTGCTGCACCCCCTCGTGGCCCAGCACATCCTGTCCGTCAAGCAGTTCAGCAAGGACCAGGTGACTCATTCACACGTATAGCCGTCCCTATATCCCATGTCTAATAGCTGCCAATGGATTCGCTCATCCTTCACCTTTTGAGAATGCTCCTTGCCTCATCCACACAAGCTTTATGAATCCCTCCCTCTTGATATTCCAGATGTCGCACCTGTTCAATGTGGCTCATACGCTCCGCTTGATGGTACAGAAGGAGAGGAGTCTTGATAATTTAAAGGTAGGAATTCCATATCTGTTCCTACACACAGTTTATTCAGATGAACAGGGATGCAAATAATTGGTATGCTAGTACGCATTTAAAAGTGATATGTACAGCAATCGATTGTTGTAGCGGCACGAATGCATACGCATTTTATGAAATTGCCGTGCATTGTAACCTCGACATGCCAAATGAAGTACAAGTTAGCAAATAAAGAGTAAAATGCATAATTTCTTGTCATATCAGCGCAAATGCACATAAATTACGTCGTCATTTGTGCTGTTAGAACAATATATTACCACAGGCTTTGCTTTTAAAAGTGAATGCGTACCAGTTAAGTGCATCTCTGCAAATAAGTTATTGATACTGGGTGCTATGTTGGTGAGAGGAAGTGATAAAATCACATAATGTTCCTCAGTTTGAAGTGTTTGTGCACTTGGAAGTTACCTCTGTCACATGATCAGGCTGAGGTTTCTGTGAAGGAATGGCATTAAAGTCATGTTTAACCAGGTTCTCAATAGTCAGGAAGTATCAGTGATTGTGGGGAAGGGGGAGATCCTCTGGAATGATCAGCTCCTGGTACATAGTCATAGGCTGCTCAGCCAGGGCTGTTTGAGCTCCTTTTGAAGGCATTGTGTGAGTTCTCATGCATGAGTGGTGGCAGGTACTGATGGCCGTCGTGTCTCCAGGGTAAGGTGATGGCCTCGATGTTCTATGAGGTCAGCACTCGTACCAGCAGCTCCTTCGCGGCCGCCATGCAGCGCCTTGGTGGCTCTGTCGTCCACTTCTCCGAGTCTACCTCCTCCACCCAGAAGGGCGAGTCCCTGGCCGACTCGGTGCAGACCATGAGCTGCTACGCTGACGTGCTGGTGTTGCGGCACCCGCAGCCGGGGGCAGTGGAGGTGAGCCCGGGCGGGACGGCGGGTACCCATTTAAGGCCACAACTGCAGAGAGGTTCCCGAATCTCCACCTGACAACTTCCTGTCACACATCCAGATTTTTTGCTACTATGCCACCTGCTGTCCATAGAGTGAATGACTTCCTGATCCTGTTGTGCAGATGGCAGCAAAACATTGCCGTAAGCCGGTGATCAATGCGGGCGATGGGGTCGGCGAACACCCCACTCAGGCACTACTGGATATTTTCACCATCCGGGAGGAGCTCGGCACGGTTAACGGCATGACCGTGAGTCCTTCAAATCGCCCCCCCCCCCACACACTCCCTGAAATGAAAGCCCCACCCTTCCTAAGGTTACCTCCAGATAGTTTTGGAAATGTTATCTGTGTTATGTCCCAGTTTGTGCTTGTGTAACTTGGACAAACATACAAAGACTGAAAGATGAGGTGTGTTCATAGTCGACGTCGTCAATGACCAATTGCTGTCGGCCTGTGCAGATCACCATGGTTGGAGACCTGAAGCATGGTCGCACGGTTCACTCCCTGGCCAGGTTACTCACCCAGTACAGGATCACCCTTCGTTACGTGGCCCCAAAGAACCTACACATGCCCCCGGAAATCATCGAGTATGTGGCATCTAAGGGGATCAAACAAGTAAGCGCCCCTTCCCCAGCTTGAATGTGGATGCGGTTGCTCACGCCAGAGACCTGGGCTGCAGTTATGGCTAAAAGGCCAGTGGTTCATGAAATGCTCCGTTTTTACCAAGTGGTTGTACTACAGCAGCCTAGTGTGTGGCATATACCTGGAGTTTACCCAGGTTTCATTCCTCACAACTGTATGATTTATGTTCATCAGGAGGAGTTTGACAGCATCGAAGAGGCGCTTGCGGACACCGATGTCCTGTACATGACCCGAATCCAGAAAGAGAGGTTTGCTTCTGAGGAGGAGTACAATGCAGTAAGAATCCGTCACTCTGTGTGCGTGGGAGAGTGAGTGTGTGTGTGTGTGTGTGTGTGAGAGAGAGAGAGCTACATTCCCAGAATCCTCTCTGCTCTTCACAGTGCTTCGGTCAGTTCATCTTGACCCCACACATCATGACAGGAGCTAAACGCAAGATGGTCGTCATGCACCCTCTTCCTAGAGTCAATGAGATCAGGTATCTTTCCTCAGCTAAAAGTTCTTGTTCATGGCTTGTATACAGATGCTCCCCAGGTTGCAATGGTCCATGTTACAATATTTCGACTTTACGGTGGGTATGATTATTCAATAGATTACGTGATATTCAACACTTTATTATAATATAATAACAATAATCGATACTTTATTGATCCCCTTGGGGAAATTCTCTTCACGCCTCCCTTAACTTGCTCTTTGTACAGCAAGCTGTCCGCGAAGGGCAGCCACCTATCGGGGCGCCCAGGGAGTTGGGGGTTTAGGGCCTTGCTCAAGGACCCTCCTCGTACAATGACTTAAAGCCATTTAGCTAGCTAGCTATCTCAGTCCTGATAATTCTTAACAAGTAGTGTTCACGGCTTGATGTTTACCATGGCAGCCAAATTCTGTTTGTACTTACCTACTTCCTTCTCCCTTATAGTGTTGAAGTGGACACAGATCCTCGGGCTGCATACTTTAGGCAGGCTGAGAACGGCATGTACATCCGTATGGCCCTCCTTGCCACCGTTCTAGGACGGTAAAGTAGGGGGAGACCATCCACCACCCAAGGGAAAAGAATTGCTGCTGATAAGAACATGGTTATAATGTGGTTAAATGGGAAACCTATTTTTTACTCATTTGATGTACAGTAGATTCCAGCAGATCCCACTTAAAGTTAAGCAGCTAACTATGCCTGTCTCCAATGGAAAAGCAAATGTAAATCCATAGATAGCTGCACAACATGACTGTTTTTCAACTGTTTTTGTACTTGTAAGTTGGATTCTTAATGCTTTCTGTGAGTACTGGCAGGGATTAACTTAAATGATCATTAGAAAGGAACTGGACTTATTTTAAATTTCTGTTCTTTCATTTCTTACTGTTTTTGCAGTGATCGTTTCACTTGAAGTGTATCTATAATGTAATTCTTGAACTGGCGGGAGGAGGGAGAAATGTTTATAAAAGGCCTACATGCACATCAGGTGTCTGGATGTTTTCTCACAACAGGAACACTTAATTTTGAGTTTCTTGACGATCACCAGGATGGCGCTTGTACCTAATCTAATAATTTAACAGTAACAAAGGGCTTGTTTAACTTCCAGGCTTGCATTATGCTTGACATTAACAAAACTGTGCACTTAAACCTTCATAGGTTTAAGCTCATTCTTAAATATAATTCTGAAATGAATCCACTGATAAAACATTGACGGCAAGTGTGGAGCCCACGTGCAGGGTTACAGGTCAGATTGGACAGGGTCCATCATAGGGCGCACAGTCATTCTAACGATAACTTTGGTAACATCAATTTACCGATGTGCTAGGATTTGGAGTTACAACTAAAGAGCTATGTGCTGATAAGTAATGGCTATACTTGTCCTATTTACTCGTATTACATGTATTGGGCAAGGTTAACTTTGGTCAGCTGACTAGCGTTAGATTTTCAATTAGAGACAAGTCTATACACACATTAACATGTATGTGAGAGTTATTACTTTGCAAACCATAAAGACCATTTACAACCTATCCGAATGCTTTTGATGTATTTAGGTTTATACTGGATCAATACAGATCTGCGTTAGATTTCTCGCGTGAAAAGTTCGAAAGCGTGAGGGTCACGCTAGATGCGAGTTGAAATCCCCGACAGTGTTACGTGTAAAATATACTACCTTATCTCCACTTAATTAGCTTCTTGTGTAAGATTTCTTAATACATAACGTAAGCTATTAAAACCTATCTGACGCGCCAGTTGGTTTAAAAGAATAAATGTGTCTTTAATGGGTGTCTAAAGTGCTTACGTATTTTATTTTAAAAACGGAGACGACGCTCTGTTACTTCGGCAGACTGTAAATTGTTTCCGGCCAGAGATGCGTGACGACTTCCGTTCTCGCGCGTACCGGATCCGGAAGTGCGGCCTCTTACGCCTCTCCGCCGAGTCCGGAAGCTTGGCTATTTTCTCCTACTTGTGTGACACTTCCCAAGGAGGCTACGCCGGAAAACCCCGGGTGGAACGTGGAAATCTCCGACATAAATTTTGTGCCTCTATGATCCTGCCAGGGCAGACCATACTACATCACATTTACTATAGGTACGGTAAAGTCAATTGTGGAAATGATTCTGGACGCCAGTTTACTGGCTACCTAGGGGAACTGAGAAGGTGGCGTGCCGCAGATAGCTGGGTGGGTGTGTGCGATTCTAAGCAGGGTTTTCGTCTTTAACTTGCTGAAACCTGACAGAGCTTCTGTTTAATAGTTCAGTATCAATATCAGCTACCATGTTATTTTAATGTATTAGTGATATACATGCTGAACCATATTACTGTTTTAAAAACTTATTTTAAGTAGACATGCAACTGGGTGTGATCACACAAATATTGGCTACACTGATTAATATGTAAAAATGACTAATTTATTATTTAAGTCTCGATTCTCGTTAAAACCGCAGATGGCGACTCGGTCGATGCCTGTCGGGCTTCTCCTGCGAGGGCAGGCTGAACAGACGGGGCGCCAGAATCAAATTCTGATTCATTTTTGTCGTTTACGTGCCTAAGTAGTGCAACGAAAATTATCTTAGACGAGAAAATGTAGGTTTAGTTGACGCAGGCTGGAAAGCGTCATACCGTCATAGGGATTAGATCATGGGCTTATCGCTGCACTAGGACACTGGCAAATAATTTGACACAGCTGGGTGCCCGCCGCCGCCGGTACAGCACTGTAGTGGTCAGGTGCTCTTGGCGGTCGGATCGGCCAGTGTCGGTCCAGCCGGAGCGCCACGCACGTGTACATCATGTAGGTTGTAGGATTTGTCTCTGTACGGGTGGGAGGGGTCTGCTGTGTCTTCTGAAGTTCTGTCTGATTTCATACTTATACCCCCAACAGTCTGGCATGACGCTGGGAGAAAATAACACCAAATGCACCGAGTTATTAGACGAAGGAAGCAGCTCAAAATGAAATGTTGGGCTATCCATGGCACCGACCCCACCGAACGGTTGTATTCCGTGTCGGTATAAGCAGATCAGAAGATCCTTATATGCGATTTTTTTACACTGTGCGTCATTTGATAAGCTTTTTAAATTGTCAAGGACTTGCATATCTGTTAAACGTGGTTTTGTTTTAAATCTTCTATAACGACTGGACTTGAAACTTTACGGTGGCGTTTTAAAAGTGAAAAGGGCGTTTTTAGTAGGCGTCGCAGCGCAAAGTACACGCGAGTCCGGCGCGTGGGACGCGGTTAGGTCCGGATCACGGGGTTAAAAACAAGCGGCGGCTTTGCAGGCGACAGGGTGCCTGTGGCGGCTTATTTATGCGGGTGGAAGACACAGATCGTGACAGTTTGGTTATAATGGAACAGCAAAGCAATAATTAACGGTTTGAACATTTTCATTTTGTCCCGGTTATTGCTCAACACTGGAACTCCTTGAATATGATCAGAAATGCCAGTTATCTCTCACGACTAACCGACATGATAAATGTACTTTTCTGTTGTATTGAAATTACGAGTTTCCCCGAATACTGTCAGTTTTCAAATTTCTCTTTGATTTTTTTTTTAAGTACTACACTACTGTCCAAAGACCAATAAGCTGATAACATTTCACCCAATTTTTACATCTTTGCTGTTGATTGGCATACAGGCTTCTCTTATGTCATCTTTGGCACAAGTGAATTGTGGGAGAGTTTATCAAGGCCAGCCGTTAATGTTTGAGGATGTGAACATGTGACGGGAATGTTGCCAGATTGAAAGAGGGGCTCTGCCCCCTGTACCTTTGACCATTGGCCCATAATGCCAGTCCATCCTACCTGCTTTGGAGAATATCTTATCTTGCTGTAGTCTCGGCCCTGTGTGTTTGGGAGCTGATTGAGGACCACGTGTGTTTCGAAAAGCATGTGGCCCTCCCTACTTATAATTTTAATTGAACCAGGAGGTCCAGTTGGTTTAAGCACTCAATCCTAAGTGAGTTAATTGTCTGTGACTCCTTTGAGAGCGAATGTAATGTGAAGCTTCTCTGCGCAGAATAAAGATGTGTGCTGCGTGCATCCATCTCAATTTAGGAAAGTGCTATTTATTAGTGAGACGAGGAAGGGGGTTTTAAAACCCACTGGGGGTGGGGTTACTGTTTGCCGTCATTTGTTGCCGTTTTAACCCAGTGGGGACCAGCAGAGCAGCATGACGGCCTGTGAAAATCCCAGCAACTGCTGGTCTCCAAGGCTCATCTCATGAGTCAGGGTGGTTTGTGTGCTTTTTAATATGATACCGGTAAGGTCTGATTCGCGAGTTCGAATACAAGTTGACGTAAATGTGTCTGACACTAAAAGACCAGGATTATTTTTTTGAGCATAGACTAATCAGTTCTTCGTCTCAATTGTGAATGCCTTTTGCGTACTGACACGTGCTTAGTGCAAAGTTTATAAACTATGATCTGGGCCTCCGGTCCACCTTCTGCACTCTATTTTCATTTAATACCCAGCTTTAGGATTTTAGTGTGCTGTGGTGACTTTGCCCTCCTAAAATCTATGCGCCGCCCTGCTGGTGGAGGCTGCCTTGCTGTGGCACCATGTCCTTTACACAGAAGGAGGGGAAAAATACCGGCTCTGCTGGTTGCCTGTGCCTAAGTTACAAGAATCTGCTTTAATTTTTACCTGGGGCAGTTTAATGGCAAGATGCATCAAAATCAATATTTGAATTTCTGAGGCAGTGATGTTGTAGTATTTACAGAGGAAGTGCTCTGTGTTTACGTTGATTGTGTGTTAATAATACCATTCTTCAGTGTAAAACTGAAAGCGACTCTGCCCTAATGAAGGTGTTCAGCATTGGCCTTAATTTAGCTTATTGTTGGAGTCCAGGCTGTTTCATCTCTGGGTCTGAAATCTCAGTACCAAATCTACATGATGGTGGTGTGTGTCTCTATGTACCTGTTGGAATGGGCAAACCCGTTCCCTTGTGTAGCACGTCTTGTTCGGCTGTGTTGGTTTGGAGACTGTTGAAGATATCTTTAGCGTTCTTGTTGATTGCTGAGTTTAGAAGAATTCTATCTGAATGTGATGGATGTTTGCAGTGAGCCATGCCCTGTAAGGTGCCTTTTAACGTTAATACACTGCGTCAGCCTATAGAAGCTGTGCTCAGTTAGATGTCTTGCTGGGCTGCGCCTTTTAATTGTCTTGATACCATGAAAGGCTGTCTTCTTAGAAGTAACGTGGTCAGTCTGGCTGAGTAGCCCACCTGTGGTTCAACTGGTAGTGAAGGGTTTCTGTTGAAGAGAGAAATTCACTGTCATGGGGGAACAATGACATATGGCATTGAGATTGAGAAGGGATTATTCATTACCCCAGTGTTGGGGACACTCTGTTCAATACTATTTTGGTCCAAGTAACTCAGGCAGTGTGTTTGGGTGGTATCGATGTTTTCATGCAGTCATACCATCTATATAATTGACCCCGGTATATGACGGTATTAAAACAACATGACATAAGTCATGTGGGCTACTGTAAACTCCGGAGAGATAGTTTGAATGGGCTTGTCAGTGTGGAAGTTGAGCACTATAGAAATGAGGATCCAACTCCTTGTTGAAGAGTTAAAAAGATCACTCATTGTTTGACACCACTGTCACTCCCCGATCTGCGGCACCTGCCCGTTCTGCGGCACCTGCCCGATCTGCGGCACCTGCCCGATCTGCGGCTGCATTGCGCACTTGGTTTCGCATATGCAGCGCATGCTGCAAGAGATTAGAGTATTTATGGCACATTTCCCATGTACGTACTTGTTTGATTATTAATTTATTTAGAGCCTCACTTAAGTTTTCATCAGCGATAATGCTGTGCACTACAATCTGTATTCTGACTGTATTAAAAAATAATGCCTTTGGGATTTCTAAATACCAGATATAGGAGACATGTTGATGTTGCACAACTACTTCATATTTTATGGTAGCTATAACGTGTATATATATAACGTATATATACGGGATATATATTTACCAACTCATCAACATGGTGGGATGTAGTAGGTGAGTAGGGAAGATTTATTTATTTTCTGCAATTGATCACCGTTGAGGCAAGTAATATTATCGTATTGTTCTGATACTTTTTCACATTTCTTTTTCATATGTGAAGCACTTGAAGGAATGTTGCCGATGTTAACATCTACAAATAAATGAATTAATTAATTTTTATCTTTGTGGTTTTGGATGCACATCATGCAGCGTTTACCATACTGTCATAGCACCTAAGTCTATCATACGGCTTGCTGATTTGCTCATCTTGGGCACTGAAGTTGGGTTGGTTGTTTGTTTTTCTTTTTCTTTGTTTGGTAGATTGACTTGATTGATTTATTACTTGTTTTGTTGGTTGGTTGTTTCTTTGCATGGCTGACTGGCTGCTTCTTTGTTTTGTTGATATGTTTTATTGGACTTGAACCTACAAAGTTTTTGATCATATTTAGGTTTCAAATAATGATGGGTCATCATAGGCTTTGTTACCCATGGTGGGCCACGCACTGCTAGCAGCTGACACATTTAACCCTCTTTCTGGTGGGGGAAGGGGACCCAGTGTGTTTTTTTCTTCAACATATGCATCAGGCATGTCCCTTCAGTCGCAGGATGGAGTAAACGTGGGGGTGGTGGTGGTGTAATCTGTAAAGCTCAGCACTACGTAATCGCCTTTAGCATATTAGCGGTGTCTGTGATACTCTGTCCCTGCTCTGCCATTGTCCATTTCAAGCTACCAGCATCTACCTCTCCTATCAGAACTGACCTGCCTCATTCAAGTTGAGTGGCATTGACTGTCTTCGTGTGATTGTGAGGGACTAATGTTGGACTCCATGTAATGCAGCGAAAAATGCGATGTCTGACATTGGCTTGTGCTTTTGTCGATCCGTCAGTTTCTTTTACCTCCAGCCTGAAGATGAATGTGGCAGTAAATCCTGGTGATGATTTAGAGGCGGAGTTTATATCGGAGAGGCGCTTTGTCTCATTGCTGTCCCTTCTTGTGCCTTTGGAAGGTTTTCATCCATGTAGCTCCTGTGACGCCGGTTTTGAAACGATCTGGGTCGAGGTTCCATGTTGCTCCAGTTACCGCTAAAGTGTTTCATTTTCATCAGTCAAATATTTTGCCTGTCAACACGGCAAAAACAGGCTGGGATGTCAACCTGCTTTTATACTTGGGGTATAATGTTTGATTTCATACCAGCATGAGGCCATGTGGTGAGCCTGTCTGAACTCGTCTCCACTATCAGCAGAATCCAGCCATGGCAGAGCCAAGCAGACCCCAGAGAAAGATGTCTACTATGGGGGACAGCTTATACAAGACTCTAGGCCTGGAGAAGGGAGCGTCCGCAGAGGACATCAAAAGGGCTTACAGGTGTGTATTAATATTCCTTTATTTGTACCTGCGTAAAGAAGTTAATTATGTTATTGTATGCTTTGCTTATTCTGTGTTCGTTGCCAGTCTGTAAGCTATTTGTACTTGTCCTGGTTGTGGTGAAGTTGTGATGACTGTGGCCTCGATCTCTCCATTCGCTTCCCACCCATTTCAGGAAACTAGCGCTGAAATATCACCCTGACAAGAACCCAGACAACCCTGAAGCGGCGGAGAAGTTCAAGGAAATCAACAACGCCAACTCCATCTTGACCGATGACACCAAGCGCAAGATCTATGATGAGTATGGCTCCATGGGGCTCTACGTGTCGGAGCAGTTTGGCGAGGAGAGCGTCAAGTACTACTTCCTCATGTCCAAGTGGTGGTTTAAGGTGAGTGGGGGGCAGGACATCAGCGCTGGGAGTAGCTACAGGCTTCAAGAACTGCTGTGGGTGGGATTATCATGCTGTCAGTCATAACCTGGTTTATCCCAATAGGAACCCATGAGGTAATGTGAAGTGGATTAAACCATTCCGTGGGTGGGGATTATCACGGACTGTCACCTTACATTTTGAAGCCTCCAAGTTGTTAATTGGCCAGCTGTGGAGATGTATGTAGGCGTTAAATCTGAGGTGTATTTTGGTTTTTGGCATTTTTCAAAGGCCAGGCCTGTGTGGGTTAAGCTTCTTTTCTGTATTTAGAGGTGGACTGGCTGCTGTTGATATTTTTACTGGAATTGGTGACTCTCCCAGTACGGAGTGAGCTCAAACTCCTACCCCCCCCCCCCCCGGCTGTAGGCTCCACTTCACTGTACCGGTCTGATACAGCTGGCCACATACTGCAGTGGATTAAGCCCCGAGTGTGAGACACGTCTGCTGGTCATCACTAGGCTGGTTTGGGACGTCCTGGGTGCTCACTGCAGGATAGACTGTCTTTGCTAATGCAGGAGGAATGGCGGGAATGGGGACAGAGATTTAATGTAGCAAGTTTGGGCTCCATGTCAGGAAGGGTTGCCGTCTGATTGGTCACCGTACAGAGCTAGGTGGTGCTTTCTCAGTTCCTTCTCATTTTGGATGTTAATCCTCTTTCGTGTCGAGTTGTGGGTTGAGTGTTCTTCCTCGCCGTTGTGTGTAGGGGGGATGTTTTTTAAAGTCCTCTAAATTGGCTGTATTTGAAGGAGGATTATTGTGGAAATGGTTACAGAACCGGCACAGAGATCCGGCTTTAAAGACTTCTGGAGCCTGAACCATGGTCCGTTAACAGAAAAGCTGGTACACTGCAGCCGAGACTGAATCACTCTGACTATTTCACCATGGTGCATATTAACAAGCAGCTCGTCCCAAAACAGAGTTGGGTCCAGCAAGCAGTGAGGGTTTACAGCGTGGCTTGAGTTACAAACAGTTCAGTTCAAAGTTCTGTGTTTACGAGCAGCTCTGATCTCTGAGCCCTGCTGTGGGCTGAGTAACGACCCCCCCCGGTTACGTTGGTCCTCTGGGACGTCGTTACTTGGTCATTGCAGGGACTGAGGAAATGAGCTTTGGCTTCTTGTATGAGGAAGAGCACAGTGTGTACGTGTGGGTGGTTGGGGTTGCTCTGATCTCTTGCAGCATGGTTTAGGTTCATTCCCCCAAGCCCAACATGTGTGTCGCCAGTACCTGTACTGCCTCCGGTGGTCTGGCTGACCCCTGCACCCTGCCAGACATGCCGGCTGATTTCCTCGTCTCTCCTGTCGCAGACTCTGGCGGTCTGCTGCAGTATCATCACCTGCTGCTGCTGTTGCTGTTGCTGCTGTTTCTGCTGTGGCCGCTGCAAGCCCCCAGAGGATGAAGAAAACTACCAGTACGTGGACCCAGAGGACCTGGAGGCGCAGATCCGGGCCGAGCAGGACGGGGGTGAGTTCCGCAGGCCGGGGTGAAGGCTGCGCCCTCGGCAGTGGGCCGCCCTGGTATGTGTCTGCCTCTCTGTTCAGGATTGGCTGTGTCTGTGAAACACAACATGTCAGAGCGGAGTCTTTGTGTGGGGATCTGGGGACAGAAATCAGGTTTAGGAATCTGCATGCCTGAACAGGGCAGGCTTCGTCAGGAGGGATCTTAAAGACTCTTGCAAAGGGCGTGTGTTTGACACAGGTAGGGCAGGGAATTTATGTATCTGTGCCTTGAGCTCCCAGCTCATCTGGGTTTAATGTTTAATTTGTTTATTAAGGAAATATACTACCAGGAGATGTCTATCTTGCTACTAACCTGTCATGTTTCCTAGAGGATTACATTGTTATGGGATTGCTGATAAGACTGTGCTGATGGTCTCGCCCTCCGGTCATTAAGCTGTAGGATGCTGGAGTTCTGTAGAAGTTAGGTTCTGCAGCACATATTATTTTCCAGCATATTTCTGTTCCATGTCATGCAGTTTTACATTTTAAGTGATTAGCATTCTATGGTAAAGAACGGAATATGTTTCGATAAAACAGAATGTGTTGGAATAGTACTTTATTGTAGTTGTGTACCACTGATGAAAATGTGACCGGAGATACAGCTAAGCAGCCAACCTCTAAGCCACCTAAAAAGTTAAACTCCACTGGTACAGTGGTGCTTCTCACTTTGAATATTGGTAATGTTTAAATATCGGCCCAGATTGACAGATCAGACCAATGTTAATCTTAATGTTAACCGATTTGTCGTCATACACAGCAGGTAAAATTAAATGCCATGCATGCTTCCAAAGAAAAGAGCAGACCATAATATATAAAATATGTATGCACAAAAATATGAAACAAAGTATGACAGATAAATGATATATTTAGGTATAATATAAATTATAATGAATATGAAATGTACAACAGCTCTAGCATGTTACAATATTAGCAGTGAGGCTGGGTCACTGTCGCCCTCCCTGTGGCTTGGAGTCATTGTCAGTGTCCAGTCTCACTGGAGGGCGCAGCCAGCAAACAAAACTGCGCCCGCCAGTGAGTCACCCCCCCGAGTCTAGGTGCGTCAATATGGAAGCCGGCTGCGGGCGTGTAGAACGGTCAGCCCCACTGCCTCATGGGGCTTCGTCTGACCTCTGGAAGGAAAGTCGTGCCTTTGACGTACCTGACCGTAAATGGTAAATCACGCAGGTCTGTACACAGGTAGTCTGTACAGGGCTGCCTACTTTTTCTCCTTCCTCATGAGTCAGAACCATCAGGTGTTCTTAGAGGAAGGGAGCGGACGGCACGGCGAGAGCCACTTGTGGTTCCCAATCGAATGAGATGTGTCGATTTCTGGGTTTAGGCTATTTCTCATTCAGCCCGTCTTGGTCTAACATTATTAGCAGTAGACTACAACTTTGTGTGTTTTTCCCACAGAATTGAAGAAACGCTATTTAACTATGATCTAGTCAATCACAGTGAAGTGCTCAGGTGTAACTGGGCCTGCTCGAAAGTGGGTGTGAGACCTCCGAGCCAATCTTTTCCATTGATCTTTTCCATAACTCGGAACACAAAAAGTTCTCTTACGTTTCCTGCTGTGGTGTTTCCATAATTTGATCTGTTCAATCAGCTCTGTACAGCGTAACCTGCAGCCTTGTTTCAATGCACAGCTATAACGCTCATTGTCATGGGTAGATACTGTATGCTGGCTGGCAAAATGAAACAAACGTCCTGATTGGATTTCCACATCAGAGAAGGCGCGGCTAGTCTGAGTCCTGCTGAAAATCACCAGAAGTTAATGCTTATTGTTTTTTTTTGTCCAGCAGGAGACACTGTAATAGTGGTGCAGCCCACTGCAGTCCCAGCTACTGAGAACTCGGCCGAAACGCTGCCAGAGTCTAAATGACTTGTAAGCCCCTGTGTTTCTTTAGCGCCACCTTGTGGCGGCTTTTGCTTGAGCAAAGTCAACCAGTGACCCACCACCAGTGCCTGCCAGTTCTTGGGATTTCACTGCATGGCCGGCGCATTGTTTCACCCTCCCTGTGCATGAGTCACTTATTCACACCTTCCCTCCCCCGTTCACCCACCTGCCAGGCAGGCGCTGACCGTGACTGCTCGCCGGTGATGTCACCGGGCCGCGACGGCACCCTTTGGCATGCCGAGCCACGGGCTGCGCTCGCTATGCATGATGTCAGCCACGCATGTCTAGAACTGACTGTGCTGAATGTCTGTTGATTTAAAGGGGCCGCTGTCCCACACGGACGCGGTTCTTCCTGGGTGGCCTAACCGAGGGAACCTTCCTCACCTCACACGCACTGGGCAGGTGGAGCCTGACTGGGATTCTCGTCCTGTGGGAGAGGTTAAAGTTGGCCCGAGAAAACATGTCAGGTGGTTTCAAGAGGTCAAGCCACTGGCTTCTGTTGCCAAAACCAGCAGTTTGGATTCCCCCCACCCCCCTGGTATTTGAAGGCTTAGCCGCCCCCTCCTAGTCACCCACCCACTTTCCAGTGACTCCCAGGGTGACTGACCCATACCACACAGACTAAACTTGCCTTTTGGTCAGACTAATCAGTGCTTTGAACCTTGTGGAGTTTGGCTTTTGTTATGTGTTACAGTCTAGTATGGGGTGGTTTAGACTTTGTAATCAAACCGTGGTCTGGGCATCCAGAGCGCAGCTGGTAAGTTTAATTACGATACTTCGCCCGTCAATAAGATGGAGAATCTCCTCTTATACTCTTAAGGGTTAAGGCAGTAACAATTCAGGCCTGTGGGGGGCAGCTCCTCTTATTCATGCCAGACACAGCCACCGTGTTGTCGCCACGAGCCATGGACCATCTGTTGAACGTTTTTTTTTCCTCCTGTAAACAAACTTGTTGGTGTGGAGCACATCTGTGCCACTGTTGAAATAACTAAGTGAAGTCCTCTGTCCTCCATCCCTGCTTTCTCTGCTTGGATCCTTGGGGTAAAGGACTTAAGTGAGAACGTGTCGGAGCTGCAAGGAGCAGCAGGTAGGGTCGGACATGGAGTCTGCCCCAGGAGAACCTTCCCGGTAGAGCTGCCGCGGAGCACCCCTACCACAGACTGTAGAGTCACGGTTGGCCAACCCCCTACATTTCCGCCCCGAGAGAGATTTGCCGTGTCTGAAAGAGGCATGAGTGTGTAGCGCTTGTAGCCCCTGCCCTGCTGTAAGCTGATCTGCGAACGCTTGCTGCTTTCATGATAGCTGCTGGTGTTAACATCCAAAAAGATGATGTTTCCTATTCACTGACGCAGCTCCGGGGTTGAGGACCACAGTGCACAAATATTTGCTTATTCATGTGGATTTAAAAGCACATGGCTGCTGCTCCAAGACCTGGGTGTGAATCCCTCAGTGTCATATGCTTCTCCAATCAGCAACAAGCTCTTTTTACAGAGTGAAAGGAACAAGCTTAAACCACACAATGGCACATCCTGCTCAAGGCTGAAGAGGGACTTTGGGGCCTGTATGCTTCTCCTGCAGCTCATTTGCTGCTCAGTCTCATCTTCTGAGTTTTACTCCCCAGTTTCCTTCTATCTAATGTTCTTTCATAGGCTCATATGCTCCTTAATTGCGTAGAAAAACAGCAAATTTAAAATGTGCAGTTTGTGCACAGATATATTCCTCCTACATACCCCTGAGAAGCCTGTGTCAGTGTGGTGCTGCAGCCCATCCACATTTGTGTCCCTGCTGCTGATTGGCTGATGCCCGTACTGAACGGGCCTGGCTCCTCCCCTCCGCTCACTGTGTTTGCGTATTGATCCCCTTGGCAGGTAGAAGCGCCCCCATTGTGATCCAGCCCCATTCCACCAGCAGCACCTCCAATCCTGTCCAGAACGCCAGCAGCCAGCCTGTTTCCGAAACCCCGAAGTAGGCCGACCAATTGGAGACCACTGCCTGTTGGGAAGCCCTCCTACACCGTGACTGTGAGAACCTCGGCTCCCCCTTGTGGTCGTGCATCATCATCATCATCATCATCTTCGGGACAGCAACAATGAACAATATCGGCCTCTTCCGCTATCGGCTTCCTTCCCCCTCACAGTACACCCACGTTGTGATTATTTTAATTTTTTTTTCTTCTGGATGGAGGAGGAGCCGTTTTGCCAACAAAGTGCTGGGACCCTCGGTGCCGCGTTCATCTCCCTCATCACCAGCCAACAAACCCGTTTCCACTGTAGCTCTCCGGCCCGAGGGTCCCGGGGTACTGCGATCCAGCACATCCAGGGGGGGGGGGGTTCCTGTTTTTCAGCTTGCATGCCAATGTTGGACTGCACTTGTCCTCCAACACACAGACACGCGCACTTTCCCTGTTGCCATGGAACACAGCCCATGCCGGAACAGTCCTTCAGCCAGAACAGCCAGAAGGATCAGTCCCAGACGTTGCCAGAAGGGGGCCCTCTACCTACAGGCTCTTTTGCAGAACCCTGACCGAGATTTCACCCGCCTTGTTTATTTACATCGGATGTTCGTTTAATCTCCCTTTTTATGCCAATGAAGTGGGTTTATTGCCTAACAAAATATTCATTTTATGCTGTAGGTTTATTGTATGTTCTGAATGTAATAAATAATTTCCAAAGTCCGAAGATTTGATTGAGTGGAAATCTGAGCCCATTCCTGGCCCCTGTGCACGTAGCCAGTGTCGCATGCCTGGCCGATGTCGATGTCGGCGTTACCCCTGAAACCCCGATTGTACTGCGTGTGGGTAGAAGTTTGCGCGGCTCCATAGGCCTGGGGAGTCGGACCCTTGCCTGCCAGAGCTGGTTTCACCTCTGTCCCCTTCTGTCGGATAGCGACTCCAACAGGCTGTGCCAAGGACCGGTCCATCCCCAGCCAAGCACGACGGCCTTGGAACGTTTCTTTTGGGACCCTGTTAGATGATGGAAGGTGAGGTTCTGTGGCAGTGGTGGAATGATCTGCAGAGGCCCAGCTCGCCGCCAGTGGACTGGTTCAGCCTACTGCTACTGGGGTAACAACCACTGACTGAGTTGGACTGGTTACTGACTGGAAAATACTGTCGCCCTAGTACTGTTGGTTGCCCTGGGTTTTATTGCGACTCCTGTCCTCGTTTCATCAAATGATTATTCATATGATGATTATGATTATTGCTCTTGTTGTGATATTGATAGATGCCAAATGAGGTGGTATGATGCACTAAACCGTGTGGTGAGTTGACATGTAAAGGTGTAGGATTGGTGTAATTGTGTTGGTCGTTTGTCTCCCCCCCTCAACCAACTTCCATGTTTACTGTCTCCCTCTTATCCTCACTGGGTGAGTCCAGTGGTCAGCTGGCCTCTTATCCTGGGGGGGACGTTTAGCTGCAGGAAGGCTGTGGAAACGGCAGTTGTCTGAGACCGGGTCCACAGGGGGGGTGCACTCTGTGCTCTGCGCCGGTCTGACAGCCTCCTGTCCTCAGAGCCTTCACCTCTGTATGTGTTTATTTGCTCTTGTGGGAAATCGCCCCCAAAGCCGTCTGATGCATGCATTATTTTTAAAGGACGCGTTGAGCTCGAGACGTTCATGCATGCTCGTAGGGTCTGAATGTTTGTTTTTTTTTTTTCTTTCTTTTTTCTTTTGCAGGTGGGGAAAAAACCCCCACTAATTTATACCGTCAATCTTCAGCACTGTGTAAATACTTGTAACAGTAGTCCTTCATAAACGTGATATGCAAACGTGTCAGTGGGGAATTACCATTTATGCAAATGTTTTATGAATGTGTCAATTTTAATACTGTGGTTTTTTTGTTTTTTTTTAAATAAGAGGTTTAGGCATTTTGAAAGCGTTGACCATAGTCGTACATGGTCTGCTAACATGATAGGCTAACAGCCCTAGGGGGTGGTTCCAGCCACGCTAGACTGGCCAGTAAAAAGCCTCCCTGTAGATGCCTGCCTTTTCACACTGTAGGCATGGTCCTTAACCACCATTCCTCCAGTTATCCTGTGAGGAATGACTGTACTACTTTTGTTCAACCAATTTGAACGTGTTTTTAAGTTTGTTTCCAGTTTTCATTATTTACAAAATGTTCCTTAATGTAAATGTTGTATATCAGTTCTTGAATAAACTGTAGGGCAGGGTTATGGGCAGTCTGTGCATTTATTTCGTGCGTGACGACTGTTTGTCAAAAGTTAAATACAATAAAAAAATGGCGTTAGGTCTACTTTGACCTCAAAGGCGTTTATGCGTTGTACTTGCTCACGGAGAAGAGGTCACAGGTGATGGGCTTTGCGTGTCGTCTGTAGGTAGGCCGGTATTCACTGGGCCGTCAGCTGCCTGAGAGGAAGTTTGTCCTTTTGACTGTGCCCTCGTCATGTTTTTGAGATCGTGTAATTTTTAGTGTCTTCTGTCACTAGCCTGCAGCGGCCCCCAACCCATTAATTGGCTTTGGGGGGGGGGGGGAGGAATCTCACCAACTGTTCTACTCAACTCACTGGTGTTCATCGTACTTATCATATTTCAAGAGGTAAAAATAGAGGAGGGGACAGTGCGGGGCTCTGTTGGTGTGCCACTGGCCAAGGAGGCGCCGTCTGAGCTGGAGGGTTTGCACAGTAACCCAACCCAGAACAAACCCGGAGTTAAAGTTACCAGCCGGTGGCTTGGTGAGTGAGGCTCGGGCTGAGGGACTGCGGGCGACTGAGAGGGTGGCTCTCCGAGAGCGGGGCTCCGCGGGCACGGCGGGGGACGGAACGATGAACTTCCCACTGGGCCGCAAGCTGCTTCCGGGTGAGACCGGCCCCAACGAGAGCCTGGAGAAGCAGCTGATCTGCCCCATCTGCTTGGAGATGTTCACCAAGCCGGTGGTGATCCTGCCCTGCCAGCACAACCTGTGCCGGAAGTGTGCCAACGACGTCTTCCAGGTGGGCACCGTCTGTCCCCTACACCCCCTCCACAGCGGAGCAGGGTCAGTGCTGGTCAGACTCGCTTGCCAGCTCTACTTAGCAATATTGAGCATGGTCTGCTAGTCGGCTGCAGTCTGTATCAGAGCTTATGTGGTCTATTGATTCCCGTATAATGATTATTCCAGCCTTTCCCCAGGGGTGAGGGCTGGGTTGGGGTGAGGTTTAGCAGTTTTTCAGCACCTGAAAGACAACCGGGACGAAGATGCAGCTACAGCAGTGTGGGCAGCCAATTACACGAGCCGAGTAAGCCGTTCCCCCAAGCACTGAGCGTCGTGTAGGGCTAGAAACATGGGAATAAAACAAACAAGCATTTGTGGTGTTGGTGTTTCGTTTCGAGAAGTTGCTGTAATCAGATCTTTGGGTGTGTTTGGAGGAAAGCCCCTACCCCAAGCAGCTGGCAGTAGTGGGCTTTATTCTGGTCATGTGACCTCGTAACCGCATGAAATTTGCTTGTATAACCAGCCATATCCCTGAAGGATGAAAACACAAAGACGAGACCTGTGTTTAGAAATTTTCCGCTGCACAGTGGTGTCCCAGGGACCGTATACTACTATGAAAATGTACAGCTGTAAAAATGATGGTTTTTTGATAAGACCAAAGGATGTCAGATGTACTAAGTTTTTCAAAGAATGGAGATGTAAAGATGAAGATGCAGAATCTCACCCATTTACTTTGCCTCTCTTCACCTCTGGATTGGACTAGTCTTTAGCTACTTTCCTGCTTTGGGGCTGTAAAGATTTTTGTTCCACAAATGCTGCTTTCTTTAGATAAGGAGCATCTGGGGAAAGCACTCTGTCTCTGTGGGCATATTTAAGTTTCTTATAGATTTAGAATATGTTACTGTTTAATACTAGGTAATGCTTACCAAACTAACTACTGGGCCTACTTACTGAATGAATGTTGATTATTAATGGTGTACATTTATAGGCTGTGCACTGACGTGTGTTTCTTTTGACCCTTCAGTAGCACCATGACCTCATACCTTATCGAAACTGCCCGCTCTCTCCATGTGTGGAATTGCCTGTTTCTCCTGGCAATCTGGATTCCTCCCACAGTCCGAAACCTTATGGTTAGGTGGACTGGTGTCTCTGAATCACTCATAGAATCGCTCTGTCTCTGTATGCGTCCACCATATGATGAGCTGCCTTGTGCGCTGTGGAATCGGCTCCAAGCTGCACTGGATCCTGCACTGGATCATGCACTGGATACCCACTCATGGCAGACGGGAGGGTTAAAGTAAGGTCAGCACCGATCTTGCCTATTTGAGGCCCCTTTGCCAAGTCGGTGCCCCCTTCAGACTGTTGATATGTTGCCACAGCCCTTGTCTGGTCGGCGCCCCTCACTAAGTCGGCATGCCCATTGTGTAGTGGGCGCCCCCTCCAAGCACTAGCTAAGGTGGAGATCCCGCCCTTTCCTAGTCTCCTATTACTGAGTTGATGCCCCCATTGCTATGACTTTTGTATTGACTGTTGATTGTCGTGACGGATATTTGATACCAGCTTCTGCCACACCAAACAAAAACGTGTGAACTCAACATGTGCAGATGTTAACTCTGGGAACTATTTCCAAGACACGCAAGAAAGAAAATTTGAGATTAAACTCCCATCAGTCGACTGTGGCAACAAAAGGAAGTGCCTCTGTAACTATCTGAGATACAGTTTCACTAGCTCCCACAGTGGAGTGTAATTTTCAAAATAAAGAGCAAACATAAAGAATCACTTCCGGCAATAATACATGACAATGTAAAACAGTTACTTTAAGTATATCAGGCCTATTAATTTCCATAAACAATTCGTTCATTCAGAGCATCACATGGTAACCCGCTCGGTACAATGCCATTTCCCCACCAGGCATCCAGCTATCCGAAAGTTTTTAAGTCTTCCTCTTCGATCTAACTTGTCAGTCCTACAGGTCTAAATATCTCAGCTCATAATATTCTCCCATTGGGGTGTCAAATGTAACGCATGCCGGAACGAAAAGAAGGCGGTGTGACTTTTTAAAATGAACTTTGACAGCCCAATATGCTTTTTTTTTTTTTTTTTTAACTAGCCAGCGGGCTAGTGCTCGTTTTTTTTACTCGCCTTTGCCTCAGGCTAGTGGGGGAGTTTAATTCCCAGCCATGTGTGTAAATCTTTTGTATGAAGAATAGCTCTATTAATGGAAAAAACAGATGTGAAAACAACACTCAAATTATTGAGTGCATTTATTCCGAACTGTCCAATATCCTGGAGGTGGCCACGCAAAAAATGTGTGAATATTAGTGTCAAGTGATGTGAAAAAAATCCATTGATTTAATTTGATTTGGATCTTGGTTATATCAGAGCATATATGTTCTTTTGACTAATCCAAGAGCATAATCAGGAGCATGTCCAGACCTGGGTCCCATCTACGTGTGACGTTCGCCTTCTTTGTTAAAGTTCCCCTTCTGTGTTAGAAATTGCCGCCGGGCCGCTGGCAGCTGCTGCTCCGCTCTTGGCTCGGCACTGCCACCCTGGAAACTGGAAATGGCGCGCGGGATCATCGCGATCTCCAGTGAGCGAGCAGTGAGCGAGATTAAGTGCACCTCCAGTCACCGCCTGGATTTACCCACTTCCCATTGGCTGTGTTTTTCGGTATTACACCGGGCAGTGATTTTCAGAAGGTTGTAATTCCGCCAACCCACCATCGCTACACATGAGACACAGCTCTTCTGTGATATTGTATTATGTATAAAATTTTATTTTTCAGTTCCAATTTATTTGCGTAACGCTGTTCAGGTGAGATTCCAATGCAGGACAGAGCAGTTAATTGTTTTGTTGACAGCGGACCCTTCTGTGACTATAATCATCTCCGGCCTATAGGGACTTTATTGCTCCAGGGTGGGCTTGTTCATCTCCGTCCCTCTGTCCCACTGTAGGCCTCCAACCCGCTGTGGCAATCACGGGGGTCTGCCGCCGTGTCTGCGGGGGGGCGATTTCGCTGTCCGTCATGCCGACACGAGGTGGTTTTGGACCGTCACGGCATCTTCGGATTACAGCGCAACCTGCTGGTGGAGAACATCATCGACATCTACAAGCAGGAGTCTGCCACGTGAGAGTGCCCCCCCCGAAGCGTCAAACCCTCACACGCTTTATGAATCGTGGTTTTCATCGCATTATCTAACGCGCACGAGTCTAGCAACTCAATCATAGACCCGTTTTGGTGATAGCGGGACTGCGTGGCAAGTAAATAAAGTCAGGAAACGAAACCACACTCTCACTATGACTCCCACCCTGAAACGAAGAACTATATATAATCTGGACACTTTATCCCTTGGAGTAAACATTGAGTCATAGCTCCTTGCAGCACAGCCTGGGAAAAGTACAGGTATTAGAGTATGTGCATTAAGTCACCATATGGGATAATATGGCTCTTTTTTGTGTATGTGTGTGTGTGTGTGTGTGTGTGTGTGTATATATATATATATATATATATACTTAAAAGTATGTAATATAAGTGCACACAAATACAAAGTGCCGGGTAAAACTGTAAAATGCATTTTCCAAGTGATTCTGCCGTGGGTTTGAATCTGGAACCTGTCCTAGCATCGGACACAAGGCATGAGATCACCCTGGATGGGCTGCTTTGCGTTATCAAGCAGGTGTACCTAATAAAGTAATCCTTGAATGTAGCGAGAGAGCAAAAATATGCATAGAAACAATTTATTCTTAACGTACCCTGGTCTGCAAATTCTGCGGTTAAAATAATGTGTCTTTGTCACTTTCTTTGCAAGGACTGTGTGCTGATCCCAAACCAGCAGGAAAATCACAGAGCAGTGAGAAGCAAACCAGACTGGCCTATCGCTCCTAGTTACTCTCTGTGCTGATACACAAAGTCCCGTGTGTTAAGAAGGGTCAGCTATGTTCCTCCAAGATTGTGAAATAAAGCATCTGAATTTTCTGTTCTAATTTGTCCATGCTATTACTGTAGCATTTAGGGCTAGTTTGCACTAGGTGGCGCTCTTACGTAATATTTTGTCATAGGGGAGCGTTTAAAGAGACATGCTACGATTTTAAAACATATTTTCCCCTGCTCTCATCACTTAAAGTCATAAAAATGGCATCAGTGTGAGTATTTTTCATACTGGACACGTAACAGCTATTTGAACAAGTTTTTATGAATCAGTTAAATAAGCCCTATGCAACTGACCTTTTATATGTTATGAAATGTTGACTCAGAGTAGTAACCTACTTTGGAAAAGGGCACTGAATGACAGCATTGGTTCACACTGATGGCAATGGCTGTATCACTCCTGAGACAACTGCTGGCTTAGGGCTAGCTCCTGTTCACGGTGGTATGTATCTGTTTGGGAAAGGTGTTTCTCTCTGGTCACCTACAGACCAGTGTGCGCTGTAGGTGCATTAGCAGGCAAAGAGTGTCAACACGAGGATGATGATTTGGCTCCCTGATTTGGAATCAATGAAAAGGAGACTTTAGAGTGGCCTTGGGAATAACATTGGGCAGATACGGTACCAGTCAAAAGTTTAGACACACCAAGCCGCCTTTGAAAGATAGTGATAGCGTGTTGCATCACATGACCTGGCCACCTGACCTGACCGGATCTAAGTATCTGTTATATTGGGGGCAGTCTGACATCTGTAAATGATTTCCTATTATCAGCCCATATTTAGACGTGTGATTTCTTTTCTAAAAGGACTGGGGAACCGTGTTTGTGTCCCAGGTGCTGGAGGCTTTGATTGTAGTTACAGAGCTCTAATCTGCTGTCCATCACCGAGACCCCCCCCCTTGTCGTCTCGCAGGCCGGTCCGACCCAAGTCTGAGCTGCAGGTCATGTGCGAAGAGCATGAGGATGAGAAGATCAACATCTACTGCCTGAGCTGCGAGACTCCCACCTGCTCCATGTGCAAGGTCTTCGGGCCCCACCGAGACTGCGAGGTGGCCCCGCTGCAGGTCGTCTATGACAGGCAGAAGGTAAGATGGGGTGAGATCCGGCCTATTCCCAGCTTGGCCATGTCTGCCAACATTTAATGAAAGTGAGGTGTGCATTCTCAGAAGCGTGGCATTTAACCGCCGTCTCCGAGGATACGACACATCCCCTCCAAATTCATAATCGGAATTAAACGGTAGCTCTATACTGTGCCTGCTACCCTTCCTTTATGAGCCAATTAAGGGAATAAGCTCATTACCCACGAACTGGAGAATTGCGCCCCCTGTTGGTGAGTGTTTTATTGCAGTGGTTAACTCTGCTGGAGGCTAAGCTCAATAAATGGAAACTTAATCCGCAGAAATCGACTGTTTGTTGGGTTCTCTGCCTGCTGCCCTACCTTTATCAACCAATTAAGAAAATAAGCTCATTACCCAGGAACTGTAGAATTGCGCCTCCTACTGGTGAGTATCACAGTGCAGTGGTTAACTACACTGGACGCTAAACTCAATAAACGTTAACATAACCCTCAGAAACTGTCTGTCTGTTAGATATTAGTGTACCCAGTGGGGGTGTTGACTCCATGAGGATCTCAGACTCACAGCTGCCCTGGCCCCCATAGCAGGGGTCAACATTCCAAATCCATGCCCCTGTCCTCCCACGGAAGTGAGTGACTCAGGTCTTGAGTTGCTTTGTTGCGGTGGGTTAAATGCACTGCAGATGCTATAATGCAGTCACCCATCGTCCTCCTGCTATCCGGATATCCGAGCACATGGCTGGGCATTGTGTGGCTCGCTCTGACACACTGGTGTGGATGGCGCTGTGCCCTGGGTCCAGCTTCTGTGGAGCTCGCCGCTGGTGCTGCCCAAACGGCCACATGAGTGGACACTGAGTAACGCCAGCCCCATCCTTCATGCTCCGGTTTGGCCACATGCCATCCGTGCTGTTATGAGTAATGGGTCACCTTTCCCGGAGCTGTAATCTGGCTCTCTTCCTTTAAATACTGGAATGATATCAGCTTCCTACACATTATTGGATTCTTCCCTTCCCAGCCAATAGTTAGACATGATGAGTTTCATCTTTTGCTGAATTCACGGTATAATTTTTCACTTTCAAAGCATTTAAACAGTCTGTATAGGAACTGTATAACGTCAATACCACTACACTCTTTGATTTGCCAAGTTCTCGCTTTGCCAAGTTCTCCACAGACATGGGCTATGAATGGGGATTTACCCATAATGCACCTGTATGCTTTTTCACTGAATTACTAGCATTTAAAGTGAACCTTTGAGGCTATTAAGCACATTTCTCAAGGTGTGTAGAAGCACTTTGAGGTCGGCTAGTAGCCCCCCCACCGCCTCACAGTATGCGTGTCGCTGTGCCGCAGACGGAGCTGGGTGACAGGATTGCCATGTTGGTGGCTGGGAATGACAGAATCCAGGCCGTCATCACACAGCTGGAGGGCACTGGCAGGACCATCGCGGTGAGCAGCACCACAGTGACTCGGGAGCCCTAGCAATTAGAGAACCAGAATTGTCACCAAAAGTTTGCAGGTTCACATCCCAGGAGGAAAAAAAGAAAATCATTGTTAACTCAGAAATGGTTCCATAAATATATCCAGCCGAGTAGTATGAATCAATTTGTATTAAAATGTCTGTTAAAAATGTATAATTTTAATGGTAATAAGAATCAAATTTACTAGTGTTAACCTGCTATGAATTAAAGGGACATGGTGCTTAAAGAAATTAACTTGCAGAAACCTGAAGGTTATTGGTTCAGTCCCGAGCACGGTGCATCCATAAAACATGCAGCAATTTGGTAATTAAGCAATTAGATAATGGGACAAACTTCAGTCAGGCATCAATGACTTTTTTATGTAGTCCTTCAGTCTAATGTTTCATACAGTCTGCATGGCTACTGAATTAGTTCAGAGTTGGGGCCAGATTATAAAAATTATGTTAATCATAGGGCCGCAGAGAACTTTTTTCTGACGTAGCTTAAAAAGCACAACCTGTCCTTTTGAGTTTTAGTTACCTTCGTAAGTGCAGAGGGGTTAAAATCGTCAGCAATTACATAAATAGATTTGGGTTCCAAAGTAATTTATTATTTACTATCTCATATCTGTAAAGTTTTCAAACAAGGAACACGCCAAGTGAAGAGTTTGTGCCAAAGTTAGGCTGGGTCATTCCTGAATCTCAGATAATTTCTCATTATGCAGTAAACACATAGGCTTTATTCCAACTGGAACAAATATCTTTGGATCCAATTACTATTAAATTGCTGCATTGACGTTTCTCTTTTTTTACTGTGGAAAGTGACATTTTGGCATAAGAATCGAGTACCTAAGCCAGCCAATCAAGATGTGGGTAGAATTAGCCAAGAAGAGAGCCTGGAAAAGCTTGTGGCAGCTAGCATCAGCTTGAGTCTGTTGTAATGTTTTGGGTGACTGTAATTGGCTGTTGTTATGTTTTGGGTGACTGTAATTGGCTGTTGACACATTTTGGGTGGGACAAATAGGAATAATTGACATGTTACAGGCCTGATCATCTGAAATAATTTTAATTAGTTGGCAAGAACCAATTGACGAGCTCCACATTAAAGACATGATTGTGGATACAAGGAATTGCTTCTGCAGTGTAGTACAGTGTCATTTTTTTGTGGCATAAGACCTGTAATTATTTTCAGAACATTGCACTAAAACACCGTACATTACACCGGTGATCTTCCGTGCAAGGTTCCTCCTTAAGAGAGGCAACCGCTTCAGGGTGAGTGTTGTTTTCTGGGAAATCTTTGACCCCGGCCTGCTTCTTGCTACCACAGGAGAATGGCCGACGGCAGAAGGAGCAACTGTGCGCCAGGTTCGACGTGCTCTTTGACGTGCTGGAGCAGCGCAAGAAGGAGCTGGTAGAGTGTGTCAGCCGTGAGCAGGACAGCAAACTGGGCCGCGTACGCACTCTCATCCGGCACCACGGCGACCACCTGGAGAGCACTGCCAAGCTGGTGGAGGCCGCTATCCAGTCCATGGAGGAGCCGCAGATGGCTGTCTTCCTGCAGGTGTGTTCTGCACAGACAGTCCTCACCCAACCTGTCAGCGTACTGTGCACCGGCCACTCTATTGTCCCCCAGAGGGCGCCAAAGCGCCTATTGGGTTTTTAGCATTTTCCTGTTACTCCAACAAAAACAATAAGTACAGTTGGCCCTCTGTATCTATAGGGGATTGGTTTCAGGCTCCCTGTGCATGCCAAAATCCACATATGCTCAAATCCCTAATATAAAGTTGTATTTGCACATAACCTACGTACATCCTCCCATATTCTTAAAATTATTCTAGATTACTTAGAATACCGAATACAATGTAAATGTGTATTGTTTATGAAAAAATACAAGAAAAAGTCCTTATGAAAAAGTCTCACACACACACGCACATTTGCGTTTGTAATTATATCTTTGTGGGGACTCTCAATTAATTTATATGGTGAAAACTCTAATCCCAACATGACAACCTTAATCCCTACCCAGCCCAAACCTTAACCACAAGTAATCAAACAAACAATTAGACTTTTGGCATTTTTAGTTTTTTGATTGCTTTGGCAGAAGACCTAAAATATGGTCCCCACAACGTCAAAATAATGTAATGTAACAATGTAATATAAACATAATACACACACACACAGTGTTAACACTCATCAACACCTAAAATTACACATCACTTCATTCACGTGGATTCAGCGTAGTGCTCAGCGGGCAGCAAATTCAAGTTTTGCTTTTTGGAACTTTCTGGAATTTTTCTCCCCCAAAGATTTTCGATCAGCAGTTGGTTGAATCTGCAGATGCGGAACCTGTGGACATGGAGAGTGGACTGTACAAACAAATACAATAACACAACAAAATGCAAACAAAAACAATGCAGCAGAGTGCAGACAAAAACAGTCTGGATCACATCACAACATCATAACATCACAAACAAAAATAAGTGCAACAAACAGTAAGGGCAATAACTGATATGCAAAAACATGGGGTAACACTGAACTGACTTATGATTGGTTTTGGTAGTTCCCAGTGGGGGGGGGGGGGTTGCTGAGGAGCTGGATAACTTTCAAGAAGAAGCTTTGGTGATGGCTAGCAGTGGTGATGGAAGTTTGGAGGAGAGGTGACTGCTGCAGTGAGTGAGGTCTTGCCAGATCTCTACTTCACCCTGGCAGTGAAGAAGTTTTATGTAGATAGTAGCTGAGAGCCAAAGATCTTCTCAGCGGAGCGGGCCACCTGCTGTGGCCTAGTCTTGGAGAGGGAGGAGGTGGAGGGGAACCAGCCAGTAACAGAGGATGGGATATAAGGAGTTTCCTGGGCTGGTAGAGAAGAACGATCTCTGTTGGGCTTTCCTAATGATGGAGCTGATGTTAATGTCCTACCTCAAGCTATTGCTAATGGTGGTCTCCAGAGATTTCATTGACCCCTAACTACAGACACGGTCTCTTTTTGGTTTGCTAGGGAAGGCAGGCAGGAAGATGTCTATAGAAGTCCGCTACCATGTCTACTGTCTTGATCATGTTGAGCTCAAAGTTGTTTTATGAGCTGAAGTTTCACCTTTAGACACACCTTTAAATGGTAGCTCGTTGTTTGTCTTTTTTATTAGTTAGCATTCATGAACTAGGTGGTAAAGTTCTTTTTATCTGGATTTTTAACCTAAATTGGGGGATGTCTGTACCGGCAAAAAACTTTAAAATCACTTGCTCTTGGAAAATAGTTTGATATTCTGATGGTCTAAGAACAGAACGTATTTGTATATTTATTTAGATTTCAACCTAAATCAGTGTACAGACAGCTGAAATACAGGCACTTAGGTCAACATGGTCTGAATAATAATTTGAACAACAATTCAATCAAGGCTAATTGAGAGCTCAGCTGGAGCAACAGCAGCAGGTGGAGTGGCCAGACCAGGATTAAGAAATCACAAAGTTATTTAGCACCATGCTGTTAAACCCTAGGATGGAAAGTGCTGTTTGACCCTCTAGCAGTCCAAGTGGGTGTAGTAAGGTCAGAACTGCCACGTATCTGGAGAGAGTGATACTGGGAAAGCCGGTCCCAGACTAAAAACAACACCAGATCGCAGGGTGGAGTTCTCAGCAGCCGCCCATTCAGGTCGCCCTTCCTGCCCGGGCCAGGTCCCTCCACACCGGCCATTCCTGGGTGAGTTACCACACCTTCTGTAGAACGAAAGCAGCGCTAATTCGAACCCTCCCTGGGCTGGCGGCCAGTTCACATGAAGCTTCTCCCTGCCACACAGGAGGTGGTCACACCCTTGTATTTGGTCTATCCTCCCCTCCCCCAACACACAGAAATACTGCATCAGGATGCTTTTCTGTCAATGGGGGTGATTTTGGGGGTCAGAGTGTAACAGACACACGGGCGACTGCAGAAAAAAACGCAACCTGATTCGCTGCTTTTTGCTTTCCTTTGTTCGACAGAACGCCAAGGAGCTTTTTAAGAAGTAAGATCTTTTCCCTCTATTACCCTGTATGTCTCTCACACGGCCCTGCAAGCATTTCTTTAGTGGCATTTGCATGAAAGACTCCTCACTTTACTTTGCTTTCTTTACTAATGCCATACTTCCAGTTATTTCGGCACCGTGGTCTCACTACTGGATTCACTTAGTAAAGATGTGAAAGACGATGAGTTTGAAAGAACCTAACACTGGAATTTACTCCAGAAGGAATTTTTGTCTTTGTACAAAATTCTCCAAAGTCAGTGAGCGTTCTGTAGTGGGCCATGCAGACAGCGCCCCCTCCTGACCTGGATGGAGACCTGACCGCGGTACTGTGCCCTGGGTAGGATCACGGATGCTGCCTTGGGCTCTGACGTCGAGCAAACCGAACCCGGCTATGAGAGCATGGCGCGTTTTGTCATTGACGCCGACCCCATTGTCAGTGTTCTGCGGGCCATTAACTTCCAAACAGGTAGGTGGTTTGGCTGCCATCCTGGTCCCGCCCCCATCTTGATCTGGAAGTGAAACCCATCAGTCTTCAAAACACTGACTCTGTCTCTTTTAGCCCCTGTGGATGAGGAAGGGGAAGAAAGCTTGGAAGATCAGACTGGCCGAGAGAAGGAGCCTAGGGTCCAGTAGGGCCCGACTCTGATCAATGGGTCAGTATATTCCCATAATCCCTTTCACTTCACCTTTTCTAGTCCTTTCTTCAGCCTGCTGTACTCAGCATCCCCTGTCGCTATTCCCTGTAGCTTCCTGTGATGTGATGCATGCCTTACACCCTGCTCTCTGCATTAGCATTGTCTTCCGGAGAGTCTCCCTTTGGCGTGATTGAGCTGTTTTCCTGGCCTTGCTGCGCCTGCCCCTCCAGGCCTCTGTAATGAGCTCCTCAGTCCTAAAGCTAATGGCTACCGCGGGGAGCGCTGGAGGAGACAGCTGCATCCGCTGCCGCACACTGACGCGAGCTGCGCCTCCGATCCGTCAGCCGCTTACCGGTGCTTAGGGAAGTCTGTCTGTTGGTTGTTTTTTTTCCTTCTTCTTATGGACATGCATCTCTCCGAAGCTCGATACACCAACAGAATTCAGCAGGAGCTCAGGATCCCCGATGGGAGCAAATATGATGATTAAGCTGCAGAAATTTCATTCTGACATTTTTGTTTTTCTGAGCATGTCCCCCATTTCTCTCTCTCTCTCTCTCTCTCCCCCCCCCCTCCACTCTCAGTCCAGGTGGAAGTGGAAACTTCCAATAAATGGACTCATCCGGAGAGCCGGTGATTTCTACTCGCATGTCCTCCATTCAGCCTGGCTGTTGAAGGCCCTGTCCATCTTGCAGTGCCCTCTGTTGCACTTAACCTTCTCCGATTTTCAGGCCGCCATCTCCATCCCGCCGTGGATCCTTCTTCGAGGTGTTTCTCCAAACCTCATGGCTTCCTTCTCACGTGGCCCTTCCTCCATATCCCAAAAGACCCAAAGATGCCATCTCACATCCCTTATTTAGTCAAACTGTACTGCTCTCCTCTTCAGCCTTTGCCCTTATCTGGATATTAATTCTAAGACAGCTACATTTTTGCAAATGGTACTTGTCAGAGCTTGGATGATGGTTACAGAAGGGCTACAACTTGCGTCATAGATACCATTTGTTAAAAAAAATAAAAAATCCAGGATTTGGTTCTAGATCAACTTGGAACAAGTAATTTCCTTTAGTCAGTAGCATTACATTAGTAAAGAGAAAAAAATGTGAAGTGAAGTGAACTGAGGAAGGGGGAAGCTGTGTCATCTTATATCATATACTGTATGGAATCCACTTAAACTGAAAGGCTCATATAATAATACCCCATATTTTTAAAAAACAGAGATGCAAGATGCAATTGTCATCTTTCCAGTATTCACTTTCAGAGTCAGAAAATGAAGGCAATTTTCATTCTGGGATGGAGACCCGTGTGTTTGAGTGTGAGAGAGGTCCTGCGCTCAGTCTCCTTTCCAAAAGTGAGGCGGCCAACCGCACACTGACATTCCAGGATGATATACGTCGAACTGGCAGAGCCCCATGTGCCTGTTTTGCCACCACTTGCTTGCCGCTGCCGCATTGCATCCTGGGAGCTCATTTGTCACGACTTCCAAAGAACCAGGATGCGACAGTTGATGGGGGAGGGGTCTGTAGGGCAATGCCTCTAGCTTCTCATTAGCTTATTGCAGCCCCTCAAACCGCTACCAAGCGATGTAGCCGTTGGGATATATCATCTTCTGAGTCACCACGGTCGCCCTGGGCACTGACCTTGTCACTCTGGCCGAGATCCGCTGACTGATGGGCAACAGGAGGGAGCGCAGTAACGAAATACGGCTCCTACGTTATTGATAGGAGGCCTCTATCAGAATGCCGAAAGCAGCGTGGACAGACGCAAGCGTCACCCAACTACAGATGGAGATGGATCACCGCTGGGTGTGAGCATGACGGTTTGACGCACGGCGCCCTCGAATACGGGCTGCCCATCGATAACTTCTGTTTCAAACGGAATCGGGGGTGGGGTTGGTGTGACGGCTGCATGCGTAACATCTCCGCTATGAGCCGGTGTGGCGGCCCGGGGAGCGGAGGTCTCATCTCGCACGCGCCGATGAAGTCACACATCGCCGTTACTTTGCGTTTAGTCACAATCGCTGGGAATCCTTTCACTGCTGCATTTTGCAGCAGTTATTGCTGTGTGTGAAAAGGGGGCGATTTACGTAACCAGCTCAAGAACAAACCATTCTTTTTCCCTCTTTGCAAGTGGAGAGTCAAGGCCCCTATTTGCCGGCAAACACAAACCTGGTCATCACTATTTTTGTTTAACTTTATAAATAGATTCGGTCCAGTGGGAACTGTAGTCGTTGTGACTCCTTTCTTATTTCTGGGCTTAATTCATGTTTATTGTTCCCCTGCAGGTTTTTTTTTCCAGGGAAGCTTCAAAGGGGACTTTAAAGAAGGTTTGGCCTGGTCCCCTACGCACATTGAAGAACTGAGTGTGACTTTTCTCTCTGCACATCAGTATTGTAGCACCAGTTATATACCATACACAGACGAGGACAAAAATGTGTCGAGGCACTTCTGATTATTTGAAGCCCCTTATCAGGTCCATCTTGCCCACTCACTCAAGACTGATTGTCTTTCTCCTGGAAGAATGATCTCAACTATGGAGGTGTAGTGAGAAATGTACAATAACATGTAGACCAGAATGGAAAACAGAAAATCTGTTATGATTCTTTTTATTCTGGCTTCATGTTTTAGTTCATCTTGATATTACATTCATGTAACTTTGCATGTCAGTATCTTGGAGAAACAGATTTCCTTTCTAAAGGGACAGTGAAGGTAGATCTACGTTGGTCTCACAGACCATTGATAAGGCATGTAGGATTCATGTAGGTCATTAGTAATTAGGGTGTGTGTCCCTCCTTAACCTGCAGGTGGTCAGGTGTAAAGGTACTTATTTGAAAAATCCGCTTTCATTTTCTTGAAAGGCTTCATAGAATTTAGGACAAAGGCGTTCCGGAATGTCAGAACACTGAACAGTGGGGTCAGTCAGATGTACTTCCAGTGAAAAACACTCATCTTTATCCTCAAATGACTGGTACGCTAACAAGGGATGACTTTCTTTGAGTTTGGTATTTCTCATTTTACAGTCACAGGATAAAGACTTTTATATAATCTAGAAACATTTACTCAGTGATTGCTTGCCTACTTTGCAAGGTTTGACTTGAAGTATGAATAGATTTGTAGACTTAAAAAAGCTGATTATTTTCCTAATATCCTATATAGTGTACAGAACACTAATACTTAATGAATGTTGTTATGACTGTGCATTGTAATGAACTACTTACTCATTAATGGGACTCCATCAATAAGATGTGTTAGTGGGTTGTACAGGCCACTGTGTGGACATCTACAAGCACTGTTGTATAATCTTTTACATCATATAAGCCAACGTGTCAGAGTTGAACATGATGTTGGGTTTTTTTTTAACACCCCCCAGAAAGAAAACAAGCAGATGACATGAGTATATCCTATATTTAACAAGCATAATTCTTTCCTTTATTACAGTGCCCCAACTTAAAAGATTTTGACAGAATCAGCAGACATGTTAAGATTTTTTTATTACAAAATACAGCTGGAAAAAATCTTTCATTGCTGCTACACCAACCGCTCGTGTCACTATTTGAACCGTGATTAAATACTACTGAAGATGAAATGAATAGTATGTTGTTTTGTCTAAATCTGAGATGTAGGGATTTGAGCTTCATGCGGTCTCGAACCCCCTGCTACACCTAATATGGTATATTTATGTTATTGAAGGGTTTTTTTTTTTTTTTTTGGTGGCTGCATCACATTGAACCACTGCCTCTGCAACCAGTGAGTATGTAAACGTTTTACTCTCAGTGTCACCTGTTCAGTGTTATTTATAACATGGATTTTACTCAGTGTCACCTGTTCAGTGTTATTTATAACATGGATTTATTCAAGTATTCAGTACTGATGCAAGGTCAGCAGTTATCGTGTTAAAATCTCAGGTACCGGATTAAATAACACGATGCTGAAATTGCATGAAACGTCCCAGTTAACACAATGCCTAACTAAAAGGAAAAAAAAAAAGTTTGTACTTTCATAAACGTTCCAGAATCACATACTTTGAGGAATTGAATAGCCTACTCGAATTATTTCCAGATTTTTGCATTTATTATAAACATTCCAGCAGCGCAAAAAATTGAAAAAATCCGACCAGATATTTACCGATATAACCAAAAATAAACTTTATAAGTTAAAAGTATCACGACACTCCTGCTTCACGGACAGAGCCTGAGAACATCATAATCTAATGAAAGTGTGAAGCTCATTCAATGCTCCTCGTTTGCACAATAGCTGTGTTGGAAACACATATTTCATAAGGTCACTAAGCAATTAAGGACCTGTACATATGTATATATACAACAAAAAAGTGATCTTTTTTTACATTGGTCAAAGGCATGAAAAAGTAGGTCCCCTTCACAGTATCCCACAAACGGATCAGGCTAATGTGTGAGGGGAATTACTGTTTGAATCTTCATGTCAAAGTCACTGCTCGTCTATTAGTACAGTGAACACCCACACAAAAATCCGAACAATACAGGACGAAATGAATACCAGAGAAACAAAGACTGATGATGTTGAATATGTTTCTATATAACGCATGTGTTTTCATACCAATCTCACCGCAACAAACAGTACAGGGCCTCGCCTTGACCATAACGTGTTTAGTTTTACTGTTTTACGTACAGAAATATACATTGTGACTTCGAATGGCACGATGAACAGCAGTTTGGGTAAAAGAAAAGCAAAACTAACTGTGGAAGTGCCGGGGCATTCGTTTCGCTTTGAGAATGGTTTTAAATTACAACGAAGTGAAATATTATTTGCCGACTTCATCTAAATACTTGCGGTTTAGTTCCGCTTGTTCTTTCTGACTTTCAATCCTCGCCATTTCGATCATGTTTCGGAGCAGGTGGAAAGTGAGATCAATGGAGATGGGCGGGTCGTCATTCCTCTTGGACAAGTCCACGGGCTCCTCCATGCTGTCGCCGTCGTCCAGTGACTGCTCTCCATCCACTAGCGACAAGTCGCGGGCCAGGTGACCGAAGCTCTTGCTGGATGGTGCCGTCATAACCTGGAGGCTTTCTATAGGAGATCGTGAAAGACCCTTCGGGTTCCTTTGCAGATACCTAAGTATTTTTGCACCTATGAGGTAGGAGATGGCATTATCGCCGGCCTTTAACAGAACCTGGTCCAGTTGCGTCTTGTAACCGTGACCGTCAAAGATGCTCAAGTCCCTTGGTCGACCGGCACTGATGCGGATGTTGGTGGTCATGAATACCGTGGCCACCAGCAGGACCAGGGGAATAGGTTTCATGGTGGATAGACAGGTGCCCTGTTAGCAAAAAATACATTAATAAATAAAACTATTGAGAAAAAAATAAGAATCGTTTTCTAATTGACGATCTTGGTACCCGGCGTGAGAAATTGAACCAAGCAGGAGATATATACGAGTATTATTTATATAAGCGTCCAAGGTAGGATATTTTGTGAATTTTGAACATATATGACACATAGCACAGTGTGTGCGTGTCAGAAACGTAAGACATTTTTATTGTAGACATTCTGTAATCAAATTGGGTAAGCAATATGGAGCGACACTTCTGAAATAACGTAAATGTAAGGTTCATTAGGCTTCGAAAAGGTAAAACAAATATAATTAAAATATTTAAAAATAGCGAAAACGTATTTAATGAGCATGCAAGTGAGGTTGTTATAGCATATACTATAATCATATGTTGCCTTGTTCAGTTCTGGAACTAAGCTAAATATTGTAAAGTTTTCAATACAGTCATTTATAAAAGTCGACCATTTTCAATAGCAGTAGTTAGATAAAGGCTTTTCTTTTAGTTTTAGTAGCTTTCAGATGGTGGGTGTCAAGCAACAGAACAGAAGGACGGAAGAAAATCGCGGACTTACTTTAATCTTCTGAAGCGCCGTAAGTTTCTCGCAGGTGGGAAAAGTGCGACTCGAGTCCGCAAAGCGCAGCTGGACGGGATGCGGCTGGTGCGCCACTTGCTCCATGTTTATATACATCGGTGGCAGCTCCACTGACGTCAATGCAAGTTCATAAACTGCCTGTAAATCAGCTGCGTTTGAACTAAACGCCAATGTTTTGAACGACTCGGCGGCTGCTATTATAAAATCCAGCATAGAGAGAATTAAAGAACTGCTTTTTATTTTGTAATATTTTGAACGCTGAAATACCATATTGTCTTTCCACGGCGTGTCTTTAAGGCTGGGCAATGCAATATCTGATAAAATATCAATGAAATTTTTAGTATAACAGATTTGCAGAAGCAAGTTACCGCAAAACACTTTTTATAGTGATTTTCCAGAGGCAATAAAAAGCAGTTCACCGAAAAGCCAATATAAACGGAAAATGATTCCCTGACCCCTCTTGCAAGGAGGGCGATGGAGTAATAGGCAACTGCCGAAAAATAATTTATCTATAAACGTGTAAATCGCAGAGCACATTTGTCAGCTACAAATGGCAGTCTGTTAAACACAGCTGAGAGTTACTGAGTTTCGGGGAAAAGGTGATCCGGGTGTTAGAGGCAGTACATTGGGACGAAGGTTGTGTGCAGAAAACAGGAACAGACTAAGATGTTAAACTAGGTTAGTTTGTCTGCAGAAATATGGCAACCGATGTGTAGATGTTATCGTAGTGGTTTAGCATTTTTGATTAGAAGTTGTCTTGTTTCTACAGAAATCAGGACTGAATACAGATTAACTAGTGGAATAAGTTATATTACCGTGATTTTTAAAAAAGTTTTAAGACAACAATAAGGCAGTCGGCACCAAACGATGGCAGGTGTCCTTGTCATCTCACACAACCATCTCGATAAATTCTGATCACTTCCGTTGTAAACATAACTAGCTAAACCGCTTTCCAATAAAGACTTAGATTAAAACGTATTTACATCCAAAACAACCAACGTGGGACATATGCTTCCGTAAACACGGACTAGAGAAACATTACACCGCTTTATTAAAACAACTCGTTAAAGCCTTAAATTAAGGCATTTTCTGGAAAGTGATTAACATTTTAGAAGTACTTTATGTTGAGTGATTTTGAATAAATGTAAAAGGGGACAACTGGCTGCACAACGGTATGCGAGATCTGTCCTTGGTCCTGAATCCGCAGTTTCGGTATTGATCAATGGATGAATTCATCGGATCGTCCCATGCGGGGGCGCCATCTACATAAATCAGGCCTAAAAAATATAAAGTTTTCACCAACAGTAGTAGGTCCATTATGCAATATAGCATTTTCATCCTAAACCACCAAATGTATTCAGCTGAATCAATGTGAATTTTTGCACTGGTCCCGATGTTCCCCAGTAGCTTCCGGAAGATTTTCTTTTACTTCTCAGTCGATATACCTCCGTATCCAGTTAGCATCATAAAAGCATTAATCATACTCAGATTAAAATATAACTCAAGCCCATGTAAATGCTGGATCCACCATAAATGTAGATCTATTAGCAAACAATCATCTAAACATAACTCTAACACATTAAGTTTAATTAATCGGGCCTTTAAGGTTATACTATATAGAGATTCTGAAAGCAGACTAATTGAATTACTTAAAATAAGATCATTAAACAAGCATACAGTTCGAGCCAAATCCTGAATAGCGCATGACGTCATCCTTCACCACAGGCGCTTCCAGGGTTTAATGTATAAAGAAACGGGAGAATTAATTCAAAACGGGGAGATTTATACAGTTCAGTTTCATTTGAAAATGTTATAGAGGACCACTTATTCGCAGATACCCAAGCATTTTTCACACACACACACACACACACACACACACACACACACACACACACACACACACACACACACACACTTTTTTATAAATGACATCAATTTGAATCCACATGACTGCAGTAATAACATTGTATTTGGTTTTCTTTTAATAACATATGCAACCACTATACCATTATAATGTAAACTACATTTTATTCATTTTCACACACAGTACTGTATCATTGAGCAATTAATTCTGCCTAGTATTAGTCCACAGGAACGTCCTAGAATGCACAGAAAGCACTTTGGTCCCAGAGACCCATCATCCTCTGCTTCTTCAGGTAAAATGAGTTTCAACACTTCTTACAGACTTACTGCCCCATTCTCCCTCAACCTCTCTATCCAGTGATTTCACCAAAATGGACATTTAACACTTCGATTCAGTTCACACCGTCTTAATTTAAGTTGTTGGGATGTTTGTCAAGTGACTAAAATTAGCACACACTGTGGATGTTTAGGACCGGGACTGGGATTTGATACGTGCTATAGGTAATCAGAATTCAGAGCTTTAGTCATCTTGATGACAAACGGCAGGGACGCATAATTAAAGTCCAAGTGGATGTGCTGCTGTTTGCTCCATTATTTGCTTCAAACAAGCGATATCAAAGTCATTATTTGGCTAATAAACTCTCGGACGTAACATGACGGGTTAAAATCAGCAGCTTACTTAAAGGTACTGTGAAAGCTCCAGGACTCAGGCTGCAGGGAGTTGGCACCACATACCCCTTATCAATATCGAATCACAGCATCTCCCACAATCAGGTGACCAATGACATGCCGCTGCCAAGATAATGCAGTCACATGCATCATGCATGAGCCGCTGTCATTGGACAGTTTTATTTAAAGGGGCGTCTTTCCGACGTGTACACTCATAGCACCCAGACCAATGCTATACCTAAATGAAGAGTGTGGAATATTTTAATTGACCATGAAAATCTAAAACACAGCTTCAGGTAGAGTCGTCTTTGCATGGGATGAGAAACTGTCAGTTAGCAACAATATGATGCAGAACCACCCCCCCCCCCAAATAGTGTAGATGGTTCAGTTTTCTCCAGCCAGTGCAAAACTAGATAGTCCTTGAACTTTGAACCCGATCGTCACATCTTATTGGCTTTCCAGGACAGGTAGGAATTCCATGCAATGGCAACGATCTGCACCACAGCAAGCCTGCAGGGCAAAGTTCCACAGGGGGTTAAACACAGCCAGACCTGCCTCTTTTTAGATGAAGCTCAACTTTCATGTTCAGGTCCTATAAATGGACTCTGGAGCAGAAGAACTAATGGGTGCAGTTTCAGTAAATGCTCTGCAGGACCGAATGGGTTAAACCGTACTGCCCTACAAAAGCAAAACGCAGTGTCTACGTTGACACGTGCAGTGGTAGGTACATTATAGTGTTTTCTTCAAAACAAGCATAGCCGAAGTAACATTTTGTTATGAGATAAAACAGAGTCTAAAGAGAATAGATTTCAGGCATAATTCAGTTTTGATAAAATATGTAATTACAGTGTTTTGCCTCTGAACGGCAGCGTAAGCTACATTCGGGTGTCATTTACATAGTAAGCGTTTCATGTTTCCTAATGTAATTTAGGGTTAATACTTATGTGAGTTTTCCCCATGTGATAATCTTCCATGTGCCTTCCACTGCTGTTTGCCGTTGATTGTCCAGTGGATTATGGAAAGCCAAAGATAATATTTGAGAACTAAAATTGTATCTGAACACTAAATCAAAGCTAAACACAGGAAAGTTGTATTTGAGATGTGTATGTGTGATTGGAGCTCTGACTTTGGACAAGCAAGTAATACCTGATTTTGGTGGGATTGGTAGGAGTTACCGTAGACAGAGGACCAGGTGACACTCACCTGTGGTTCAATGGGACAAAGTAAAAATTGGCCATCTGGACTGCAGGCCACAGCTGGAAAAGGGAGGGATGCTTTAAGAGAAGTCATTCCCAAAAGCATCATATGTATGAGAACTGGTGGGACTTTTGCCCCTCTCCATTTCAGCCTCTTCTTACAATGGAAGGACTTACGGTATAATTGGAGATCAAGGCGTCTGTATAATCCTGGAGGAGATGGAGAGAGGTTGTTAAAGCACAAGCTGAGCAGAAAGCCACAGGGGCGGATCAATGCCCACACCGTAGGCACCTATACAGCAGCGCGTTAACCAGCTATTTATAGTGTCAGTTAGTGTGCTGGTCATGTATTGTCCCGCACATTGACGTCACATCGGTAGGGCCACATCTGCAAAGTATTATCTGCTGGGAAGTTCATTTAGGGATGGAGAGAAGGTGGGAAGGGAGGTGGAGCTCCTGGTCCTCCCAGCCATCGAAGCTCCAGACGGGGAACGAGCCGTCAAGCTGAGCCGTTATAAAAACCATAATGGAAATCTGGGTTCATTACCACTAATCCCGTTTATCCTAAAGGCTCTGGTGTGCTTGACCTCCAGATTCAATAAACTCTGAATGGCTCTTTGGACTGAATCCTGCTTTAGATGAGCGGAGAAGTGTGCAGAGTCCTCTTACACCATTTGAGTCCCTCCCCCAGCACGAGGGGATTTCATATTCCGTAGCTCTGTAAACTTTCGTCACAACTGGTCTTCCAATTTACAGTGAATGTTTTTGAGACCAAAAGTGCCACCTTGTAACTGATCTGCCCTCTGCTGGCCAGAACACTGAACCCATGAAACTGCAGCGTTAGTGGGGAGAAACCCAAGCAGCACAAACGTTCACAATACAGTTTACAAAAAATACCATCAAATGGTATTTCACCAACACAACGGTCACACGATCAGTCAGTACGACGTACAACGCACAGAGACCTAGTAAAAACTCTCTGGTTCAAATACCAGTACAGAGTTCACCTCTCACTACCTCTAAAACGTGCAGCCACCCATAAAAATCGCGTACACTCGCTGGGATGACTGGTAAAATCTGAAGGCTCGGTGTCCAGCATGGCAACGCTCACGCTTTCGTAAAGGTCTAGTTGGCCCCTGGAGATTGCCTGCCTTGTCTTTTTACATCACGGGCCCGAGCGAATGGCTGCATCTGTCATTCGCTTCCTGACTCTCCTGACGTTAAAACGATTGACCTTTTTGTCTGGTTTTTGAATCCAACCGCATCCCGACATAAATAAATCAACGGGTGGCTCATTGAGCGTCCATTCTGCGTGCGTGACCCGCGTTTGCGGTCCTGCTCCTTTGAGTCATGAGTCACCACTAATTATAGTTGGGCAGCACCGGACCCATGTAGGGCCGCTTCCGGCCGCTACCGGGCCGGTCCATTCTGCTGTGAGCAGGTCCACCTTCTGTGGCAGCGAGCTCTGAATGTGGCAATGTGAATGAATGGCGGGCAATTCTATCCACGTCAATTGCATACGATTTTTATGTTTCGTCCACAGCCATAATTACAAATAAAGCATTTCTAAAAATTATTGGCTGCACAACAATTTATAGCCCCAGAACAATTATGCAATCAAAATGCTGATTCATCGCAATTGCATCAAATGTTTACTATTTTTATTAAAGCAGATGTATTTTGCTTAATATTTTTTGCTTTTAAATACACCAATAATTGTCCGCTTTTATTTCTCTGAAAACCTAGTGAGCAGGTGGGTCATCTGGATGCTCGACAGGCCTGCAGAAGGCTGACACTCAAAGCAGGGGCTTCTGTTCTCAGATGTAGCCCAATCATGCTTAAAAGCATAACATACGTGAGGCGTCAGGCTCGGGGAGGAATGGCGGGGCGGTTAAGGGTCTAGGGGGACGGCGAAGCACGTCCGGCCTGCTCCCGATCTGTCACTCGGCGAGATGACGTCGCTGAGCGATGCCCGACAACGAACAGCCCTCTTGATGATCTGTGCCGAGGTCTCGATTAACCGCATCATTCAGCTTCTCATTAGCCGCCACCCAACCTGAGCTACTTCGCCTTCCAGTTTGGCGTCCGGCTGATTCACGTCTAAGGGCATTATAGTGGACTTGCATCCTATCTAGGTTGTACCCCAGCCTGGTGTCCTACACTGCCTGGGATAGGCTCCAGCCCCCCCCCCCCCCACGATCCTGACTGGGAAAAGCAGTTAGAAGTTGGGAGGACAGAGGGATGGACAGATAGGACTGGACTGGACATTTCAAGGATGCAGATTAGAAGGTATAGCTACAACCAGGGCCATAGGGACCGGGGTGGATGGGGGAGGAGGAGGTATTACCCCCCCAGTATTTAATCTGGCTTCATTTTTGCCCCCTCCCCCCCCCAAAAAAAAGCTGAACTTCGCACTTAAATTATTATGCTGTGTCCCGCCCCCAATATAAAACACTCTCCTACACCCTTAGCTACAGCACAACTCTAATATTGCGCCTGGAGCAAATGGGTTGAGTCAAAAATTTGGACCCACTATTGTACTTCAGGAACGTCGCACACGCAAGTCCAGGGCGTTTGCTGGGACGTCGCCAGCAACTGACTGTAACATCGGCCGTTCTCAAGTCTCCCCCCCCCCCACCGCCAAATCTAACAGTGCCGCGGCGTCTGAGAGCTCAGCTATTTACAGACGATAATGAAAGTGCCAGCAGAACATGGGACACAATCGCTCGGTGTTTACTGTAAACAGAAAGCGTCTTCCTGGCCCGGCACCTTATGGGCAACTCAGGAAAAACACGACACAGCTTCTGCTCTTAACCATGGCAGAATTGTTATAATCACCCTACAAACAACCAAACAAACGAACACAAACGTGTGATACTGACAGTCCGGCAGGAGACTGTAGAGTGGCCTGATTATTGGGGCCTCGATGTCCGCAGCTGGAGGTCGGTCTTACCCTCCTGAGCTTGGTGATGTTCTCCTCCACCGTCAGGCCGTTCAGAACTCCAGAAATGCCCAGGAAGGTGCCCAGGAAGCAAGGAGCGAAGGCCACCTGCACACACATCACAGTGAATCACCCTGACACAAGCTTCCTGGAAACATCCATCACGTTAATGCGCCGTGTGCAGCTCTGACGGACGCTGCATGACTATGACGCTCTCAGCGTTCGCGCTGCCCCCCCCCACCAGCGAAAAACGGCTGCCTTTACCTCCTATGAGAAAATGAGTTAATCGGATGATGGTCGTAATTACGTGATTCTTAAAAACAAAGTTGGAGGGCTATTATTTTAAACTGTTGTTGTTCCTTCTTTGACTCAGTCATGTCCCTAAACATCGCCTATTAACGTTTCACTCCAATTTACCCAGAAAAAACCCCGGAGGCTCTGAAAAGCTCTAAACGAGAACTGTGATTGGCCAGCTCTCGGGGGAATTCTCCCAGTTCGGCGTGCAGGTGACAGGGGGTGGGGGGCGTCACATGATGAGCGATGGCCGCGTGATGAACGAATCAATAATGCAAGCTCCTCACATTTCCTCTGTTACACGAGACAAAATGTGCTTTCGGCCAGTGATGTTTGCTGGTTAAAATGAATTGGGCAACCTTCGCACTCTTAAATATTCAGACAAGCCACCAAAAGGCCTGAGAACTGCACCCCCACCCCCACCTCACTTCTGCAAGAATTGGTTTCTGCCGGACCCAGAAAGCAGTGCTGTCGTTCAGCCTGCCATTGATGGCCTTCTTCTAGACCTCCATCTGAATGAGCACCAAAACAGATCACCTGTTATAATAACAAAGGCTGCCAATCGCTGCTTAGATTCTGACACTCTGCCTTGCTCAAGCGACTGCCGCAAACCTGTGCGATAAACGGCACGGAAAATGGCTGGATTTACGTCACCGTGTTTAAACGTTCACTTTCCTTCTGTGCCCCAGTTTTTGTTTTCGTGCCCTCCCTAACCCTCCTGGCACGAGGTGCCGTCCGTAAGGCCACCACCAATTTCTGCACCAGTGGCGCAGCTTCCATGACCTTCAGGGAAGGTGAGATGGGCAGCCAGGCTTCGCTTCTTCCCTTCTTGGGGGGGGGATGGGACTGGAGCAGCAGATGAGGGGGGAAAAGATGGCTCCAAGCCCAGGAGGAGGAAGAAGAATGGAGGCTTTTATTGGCCGGGATTTTCACGCCGTTAGAGGAACGCATTCCTCATAAAAGGCAGTTCCTTCATCGAGCAGATAATTCACTCTCCACGGCTCTCATCCTGCGGCCTGGGTTCCTGGCAGCCACCTTAACGCAACTTATCATGTGAGCCCTCGTTCATACCGCCTCCTGCAGGAAATACATATGGATACAGGAGAAAACGTGGCCCGGGAAGAATGTTCAACGTCTGGCCTCATTTGCTCGACGTCTCAAAGAGTCCGTCTGCACGATGAGCTCCCCTTGCAGACAAGAGGCAGCTGGACAACACCGAGTGCAAACAGCCATTTACCCGATTAGCTCGATCCTTCCGAACAGGGGTTCTAACGCAACATGGCACAACGTTCTATATACAAACAGACCCTAACCCCCAGCAAACATTCCTCCCATTAAAGAAATAAACAGTGACTGTTACTGATGGCCATGTCAGAGCTGTTTCCGACCAAAGACCGAAGGATTCATCCGTCCTATGACACACAGTGACCACAAAGCCATTATTCTCCATGGAAACAATTCCATTCCCGCTTGGCATGCCATGACCCGGAGGCAAGATCTCATCTAACACGGGCTCTTCCTGGGCATCGTCTATGCCCATCCATCAGAATAGGTACCTTCCCGCCGCTGCCAAAGGTCACCAAACACTTCCCCAGACATCCCAGATGGCAACGCCCCTGTCTCCGCTTGTTCTCCATTACCTGCTACCTTATGTCCTGCCTCTGGGACACCACTGGGCTGCCACACTTTACTGGGCATTAACCTCCACCAGGTAGCTCAGAAGATGGGATTGGGGGGGGGGGGGGGGGGGGGGAAGCGGGCGGAGGCTTATACTTCGCTCATGGAAGTTTTACTTACACAAAAATGTTATAAAGGCAGAAAGAAAAAAACCGATTGGTTCAGAGAGAACCAATCAGATTGTAGAGGAATGAGGAGGTGGGATCAACCAGTCAGATGTCTTGGTCCCGCCTCCTCCAGTCACTTGGACCCACCTCCCCAACAATCTGATTGGTTATCACCCCACTCCGTGAATTTCAGGCACAGACAGAGCAGGAGCGGCCGACCCACCTGGTCAAAGAGCATCTTCTTCAGTGCCACACTTTTTCCTGTCCCCGTGACGAGCTTGTCCAGGACCTTGTACCAGCCGCCCACCACGGGGCCCTAAAACCAGAAAATAAAGGAACAGCCATGACTCTCAAGGGCTTCATGACCTCAAACAACCGAGCCTACAGATTCACGAGCCTGGCAACTCGCGACAACCAAGTACCGTCCAAATCACTGCGGACCCTGGCAGGGTCAGCTAGAAACCATGCACCTGATGATACACCGTTTACAGAATAACTGCACGGAGGAGAGGTGCACCAAGAGAAATGCCCAGGGCCAGCCAAGCAGTGGCGGGGTGCAAGTCCTGCTCCGTGCCACTGAAGGAAAGGACGGGACGCTATAAATAATCATCAGAACGAATTTCATCATAAAAACAGTAAATATTTTTCTTCATCTGTGAAATTGCGTAATTATCCAGTCATATGTTGCTGTTATTCTCCAGGATGACCGCATGCTAATATTAATAGCCACTGCAGTCACATGTGCGACCGTCTTCCTGCCTGCTTGGCTAACGCACGGGCCACATTGTTCCAGATCCTTCATTTTCCCCGGCATCTGCGCAGGGGAAGAGACATTTTTGCAGATTGAATGTTTGCGTCTGCACATTACGTCACGCAAATAAAAGTCCCGGAGGCGAACGTGAAGGGAATACTATTAAAAATAATGCTAACATAACAGAAAAACGGACAGCGGCCCCTGCCCAGAATGGGCTATGACGGAGGTGGGGGGGTATTTGGCCAATTATGGCTCCCTCTGTCACAGCAGGTGAAGTGGCCGGGGGTATCAGGCATGCTGTTAACATTTGATTATGAGATTCATTTCCTTGAAGGGGTACAAACCAAAAATAAAATGATTGATGATTTTATAATCACACACGCAGCAATACGCTCCGAAGAGTAATCTGTTCGGGTGGGGCGGAGCTGGAAGGGTTTGTCTCGCCCAGTACCTAGGAAGACTTGTGTTTCCATCACCACGTAACGTGACAACCCAAGATGGTTCCGACATTGCCGACGGAGACCGGGCCATTCTGATGCCGCATCCTATAGAAGGGTGCTTGTGAAATTTCACAGTAGCATTATAAAGCACGCAGGTCCAGTTTTACCTCAGTTATAGTCAGTACTCACACAACCTAGACTTTCTGGTTGGAATAAAGTACATACTGCAGAGGTATCTTAACTGCAGGGGTGGAATCGAATTCAGTATATCGGTCGGTTATGATTAGTAACATAATGAAAGTTTATGGTGCGAAAGTTGCTCAGATAATGCTGACATACTTGGAGGAGCCATGGAGATATTTTTAGCTGCTAGCAGTGTTAAAAAAAATGACTACAAAGTAACTGCTTAAAGTATGATGAGGCATATCAAATACTGCTTGGTGTGGGGGGGGGGGGAATCAGGACAAATATATCAGCCCTGTGGGGGCCCTGTCAGAAAAATACCACTGACTTAATGTGTTTTTCAATCTTCCTTAATTCATGGACCTGTAAAACGGACCAGAACCCATACAACCGGGAACTAGCGGCAGGCAGAGATTTTCTTGTATCGTCCTTGAATACTCTGCATGTTTTTTTTTTACAGGTTTCCTCCAGGTTCTCCGGTTTCCTGCCGCACTTCAGAAGCGGCACTTCGGCCAGCTGGAGCCTCTCGGATGCAGACGGCGACTGTGCGCCCTGCGATGGACTGTGTTCTCCGCTTCCCTTGCACTTCCTGGGACGGGATCCAGGCCCGGAGCAAAACTCTGCACCGGATAAGCAGTTACGGAAGATGGATGGATGAATCTACATCTAGTTAGCATCTGTGCCTGAAGATCATTTATGAAGACGGCTAGTTTTTATATTTCACGGCATCCCACAGATCATATTAAGGTTCGTTTACCCTGTGATCTCTCTTTCATTCATCTACCCGCACATCCAGGTCTGGGTTGGGGGGGGGGGGGCTTGAGTCCATACCAGGCAGCTAAGGGCGTTTCTAGAATTTATTAAAGTAGGAGGTGCATACGAGGGGCCGTAATTCATATAGAGGGGCCAACGCTATCAGCAGCCAATGATATGTTTTGAATCTGTAAGTGAGAGGGCACTCCGTGGGCCAATCAGCTTTCAGTTAGGTGGGGTCACAAGGGTAGTGGCCCCCAGGCAGACAGCATAGGCCTCAAGCCCGGTCCGCCCCACACCCTGGCCGGGACGTCCATCCATCACAGAGGCTGTGATCACCGTGCCCGTTTTGCAGGACACAAGCACCTTTCAGTTCCTGCCCCAGGTTCCGGTTCCCCATCAAAACAGGCCGATAAACGAGTCATGGAAACACAGTCTGAACTCCGGAGCCCCAGCGTGATGTGGCTGCTTTTCTGAGGCTGCCGTGCCCATGCCGGGTCCTGGTGGTCGCCTGCTGCGGAGGTGAGGCACGACCGCGGCCCTGCCCCCCCCCACACACTCCCCTCGGAGCGTCGACGTCCCGGTCATGGCCTGGCCTCGCTCTGCCCACTCCTCCCCGCTCTTCCGACAGCACAGTTGGCCATCAGATGGGGGGGGGGTGGTGCGGTGCGTCAGCCCGCAGTGAAACGCCGCGCGAACGGGCGCAGCTGGCCGTCGCTGGCTGTCATTGTGTCGCTTCGACTCCGCCTGTCCACATGCGACACCCGGCTCTCCGAACACAAATGAATGCACGCACACGCACACGCACACACACACACACACACACACAACCAGGCAGCCCTTCTAACTCACACAGGCACGAGACAGAGGTGCCGCTTTGGGCCGGAGCAGAGCGGACGGCGGCAGAGACTCACCACAAAGACGAAGCCGATGCTCATCATCTTGGCGGTGCGCGTCAGGCTGTGATTGGTCAGGCCGCGCCGCTCGATCAGCTGCTGCGAGATGACATCCCCCACACCCACCAGGGAGCCTGCCAGGGTGCCAGCGACAGCGGTGTTTAGGCACGTCGCTCTCCAGGACCCCCCCCAGGCCTGTCCCACCCCCCCAGCCGCTCGACTGGCACCGCCCAGCTGCACACATAGACCCTCCGCAGATGTGCAAAACGGTCGCCGCAGGATGTGGGCATCCGGCACTTTCCGTGCAGCGATGGTTTGGTATCACTATTATAACAACGCACACCGGTGGGAAGACATGTCAGCAAAGTACTTGGAAGTGCAGGAGAAACGGCAAGATGGAGGACTGAACTTTTTAAAGTACAACATTTGGGGCTTTACTGTACTGTCCGTATTGTAAAGCGTCCCTGGGCCAGAGGCACTATGATCTCATTGACTCTGCTGACTTCACTACCCTCCATAAGTCCAGAAACTGGAAAAGTAGAGAAAGCTACAAATTTCTTAAGTTCATTTGAGAGTCAAACACAGATGAAAACAATTGGGATGCTGGGGGGTGGACACACACACACACACACACACACACACACACACAAGCCTGATGGAGGCGCCAGCGAGGACCCAAAGCAGGTGGGTCAGCTGCAGACTGGCCCATGCACGCTTCCAACCAGCAGCAAACACTGACTCACATCCCATGCCATCTGGCGTCTGCATCAGCGCCGGCTCGCGGTGACGCCACGCACAACTCTACCCGGAGCTTCGCAGTCCAACCGCAGACGGCAGAACGAGCGGTCGCAGGCAAAGCGGGGGAGGCAGAAAAACAGTGCTTTAAAGGGCCAGGAAGATGCCGAATTAAATGCCCCCCGGTCTGTTGATCCGCTGATCAGCATCGGACAATCACTGGGGACCACGGGGGCCCAGAACGTGATATCAGCAGCCCCCCCCTCCCCCCCGATGGGGCGGCCCTGACCATCGACCGGACCGCTCCTCTAATCAGGCCGAAATGTCACTGCGGGCACCCCGGGCTGCTCAAGTCATTGATCAGCTTCGACTGGGTGGGGGGGGGGGCGTGACTTAATGAGCTCACTATTATTCATGAGCAGGGTGACAGCTGATGCCACCATCGTGAGCGAAATCGCCAAGCCGCCGCAAGAGAGGATCAAACTGGAGGCGAGGTAAGCTGGAACCATGAGGAGATCAAGAGGAAGACCTGGGCGCTGGGCTTAAAGAGGGAGGCACGGCTCAGGTGACTCAGCCCAGTTTGTGGTGAAACATAAAACCCCAGAATAACCTCCCAGAAAAACCCTAAAACTGTTTCAATTAAACGAAAGGCTAACTGAGCATCAGAGGACAGGAACGTATCTGGTGGTTCTAGCAACGTCTGCACACCAAACACCCCCAGGATGTGTTATCTTTCAGTCACTGTCATGCTGTCAATTTGCCCTCAAACAAAAAAGGAAACAAAACTGATTCAGCGGTAACAGACCAAACACGCCGTTCTGCTTGACCGGTCATCCCACTTCATCCATACACTGCTTGATGCTTGGGCAGGTAAAACACTAACTATTTTACCCAAAACAAGAGCAAAGACTCGGAAAAACCTCCTCGCACCGTTCATCAAACTCAGTCGTGTCCCGACGGAACTATACAAAACCGTCATGGCTGCCACATCGACATGCTGCACAGAACCGGAATGGGCGACTTCGCCTGTTATTACAGACGCATCAAAAGGCAGATGCAACACAAAGGTGCAAGAGAGCCCCAACGGAGGGGGGGCGGGGGGTCGACTAAACGAGAAGGTCAATAAAGGCTCTCCTCCCTGACCCCTGTAGGGACTGAATGCCCTCCCTGGGAGGGGGGGGGCTGTTTTGTTTCCCCAGTCATGCCTTCGCACAAACACGCAAATTTAGCCAGGTCTGACGGCATCGCCGAAACCGAGCACAAACACAAATTTACACCAGTCACGGCACGCACATCCCCCCCCCCCCCAAAACCCCACCCTCCCAAATACCACCGTTCAGCGGCGTAAAGTCTTTCGGAGGCAGCAAACAGAGTAACCACGTCGGACGCGCGAAAGGTCAGAGACGACACCAAGAGATGATTCGCCGCCGAGGGGAATGAGTAAAGTGCGAATGATGACCCACAACACTGACAGTCCCTGCACTCCGCTGCCGGCACTGGGAGTGTGAGTAAGCGGCCGCAGGATTCCGCATTTAACATCCCGCTTTGTGTCGGTCCAACGTCGGGTGTCTGGGTGGGAGATCTTCGGCTGGTTGATCGGCCATCCATGGAGGGGTCCGAAGACGGAGAGCAGAGCCAGACGGAGGCGAAATAGGAGAGTCTGGAAGGAGCGGACGGCTAGCGCGATCTGCACGCGTGAGAGGGCGCGGCCGCTGTCTGCCCCTGACAGACAGACAGGTGATGGTGGACGCGTCACCGCCTGCTCCACAACAGAGAGCTGTACCCTTCCGCCGCATCCCCAAACTGGCGACAGTGAGATGCCTATTTTGCAGGCGAAACCCCCAGTCGTTTGTGTTACATATTTGTTTGTCTGCACTTTATCCACCTCTCTGTTATCTGCAATCGAATTTCCCCCAAGGATCAATAAAGTTCATCTCATCTTAAATTCGCAGCAAAGGGCTAACTAAAAAAAAAACAAATAAATAAAATGGAAGAATAAATAAATGAACAAAAGAACGAGCAAGCAAATTAAACAAACAACGAAATAAACAAATTAAGAGTAATACAGTGATCCCCGCTATATCGCGGTTCAGCTATCGTGCCCCTGCTATATCGCAACTTTTTCCCCAACGCATCACAGTTCTCTATGATGTGTGTGTGTACATATACACACACATTAGTGCTGGACGGTATACCGGTTCATACCGAAAACCGTTTATTATTGTTATGATATGAATTTTTCTTATACCACAATACCGGTTTAAATAGCCTACACAACGTTCGGAAAGTGTTTAAGGGGGGACCTTTTTCACTGCCGCACCGCTAAAAATGTACCGCGAAAAGATCAGAAATGGAAGATATAGCTGACACTGGAGGTTGTCAAAAATCGATTCTCAGATACTAATCAATATGGAAAATTAGTATCTGATTAGATATTCATTTTCACCATTATTGGTACCAACAGTGCGGTTTTCGCCTCATTCGCCACACTTCACACAGCACCACTACAGCGTAGGCGCATGTGCCCGCACGCGCAGGCCCTCCCCTCCTCTCAATAGCCGCTGAACGCATTTGTGCTGGTTAACACACACATACCGAGTTGGCCGAACATGGCATATGCTGCAGTTGAAGGCATTTCGCAAGATGCTTTAGTTAAAAAATTTTTTAAAAAAAAGCAAAAGTGCCGTTTGGATGTATTTTGCAGACGAGCATGGAAAGGCTGAGGGTGTCGATAAGCCTCTACGTAAACAGTGCGACAAAGTTGTGGTGACAAAGTCATGTAGCACATCAAACCTGGCGAAGCATCTTAAAGATCCCATCTTCATGAGAAATTTTGCGAGGTCAGTAAAGCTTGCGGATCCAGCAACACTGAGCTATTAAACCCTTATCAAAAATGTTAATTTGGCCGGCGCATACCTTAACATTAGCCGTATATCTATAAGCAGTTAGCCAACAAACACGTTAGCCATATGTTATCATTAAGGTAGCAATAAAATAATATAATGTGGGAACAATGCAAAAACGTAAAACGAAAATGTGGTAAACACCCAGTCAATTCTTTAAAAAAAAAAAAAAAAAATACCGTCGTATACCGTGAAACCGATATAATTTTGAAAAATACCGCGATATAAAATTTTTGGTCATACTGCCCAGCTCTAATACATATACATTACATATTATTATTATTATTATTATTATTATTATGTTACTCATATCCGACATCCACATGTCATATGTATTTACAAAGTGTATTTTAATAAGTTTACATGTGTTTAAAGCATGTGGGAGGGGTATTTTAAGACTTAAACTATAAAAAAGTCTTTCTATATCGCGGATTTTCACCTATCGCTGACGGGTCTGGAACGTGACTTCCGCGATAGGTGGTGGAACACGGTATTCAGAACAAGAGGCTGGATGGGGAACAGAAAGCTCTGGCAGGCTGCTTCTTGGCGGTTTAAAAACCGGGACTCCCAACTAGCAGGGACCTCAATGCAGAATGGGTAGGTGGTACAGGGAGATTACATCCTGCTCACATCTCACACCAAGTTTAAAAACAGCCCCTTTCGTTGCTTATTAAATAAAACAAAAAAGTTAAGAAGTACAGCTGGACTGAGCTAAAGTATCTAATGCTGAAACGAGTTACCCGAGGAATTCGGGACATGAGGGGTCCAAGGTGACCCCTGGTCTGCAGGGCCGAACGGCGGACTCTTCCTTAGGGACACATCGTAAAGAGAGATTTACCATAGGGAGGTGTCTGCGTTGCTGAAGTGAGTGACATGATGAGCTTTTAAATTAGATAAAATGGGTGGAAAAAAGATTAAGTAGAACAACTTTGTAGTGGTGAACACCTCTCAAGGTACAGCATGTCCAGCCAAACCGGCTGTGCTGCTATCTCCCCCTGCAGCTAACCTGATCATTATTCCCCCCACCAGGATCAGCAGGTAGCACGGACACCCTAGTCGTGCATTCCATGACGAGTGATAAGAGATCAGCAACTACCAGCTACAGGTCAGCTTCTGTCTGATCGAGCCCCCCCCCCCCCCCGGCGACTAACTAATCGCTAAGTCAGGCAGAGACAAAGCAGGCGGGACCTCCAGTCGGATGTGACCCAGCGCCGGCAGAAAACCGCTGACGCCAGTATGGTGGCCCCCGGGGGGGGAGGGCATGCCCTGCTAACAGACTGATAGGATATGCGCGAGAATGATCTGTGACACGACTGAGAGCCGCCAAGCCAAACCCCCACACGGCGTTACACGGCGCACACGAGTAGAAAGGCCCGTCCGACATTTACACAGCACAGTGCTTTTTTTTCAGGGATCCCTTATGTTGATTGACGTCATTGACGTCCTCACCCCCCAATGAGCTGAAAGCGAGGCAAGGCATGATGGGAACATACACACAGAGGGGCCAGGAGTGCCTCTGGCCCACGGCCAGCACGGACGCAGCCACGCCTCTCCATCGCACCCTGACCGCGAGGCAGAACCCAAGGGCCAGAAGGCCGTGCTTGCTCGGTACGGCGTTTTTAATTTGCAGTTTTCAATTATAGTTCTACTTTTCTGTGAGTTTTCTCCACCCCTAACAGCTTCCGAGGCACGCCGGCCGGACGGGGGCGTCCGCAAAACGCCCCATGCCATCGGTTCCCTTCCTTTAGCTAACGTCACCGCGAGCGTTTGCGGGACGCGCGCCGACTGTGCAGTAAGAGGAGGGAATGCTGAAACAAGAAAATGACTGAGGGCTCAAAAAGATGAAAACACCTCATACTCAGACGCTGCCCGGTGTGTTTCGTGTGGTACTTAAACCCTTTAATCACACCGTAAACAGCACTTTGATAAAGGAGTCTGATTTGCAACTAAAATAATTCTGTTCATTATACGGATGGAGAACAGACATCTGATCAGACCTGAGATCAGCCACAGGTCCTACTGGCCTAAAAAGGACCCTTAAGTTTTAAACAAAGTTGGGGGGGGGGGGGTTGGCTATGTATGATGTGAGCAATTCTGTGAGAATTGTCAGGAACACAGGGCATCCAGGCAGCGCCAACCAAACACGGACTGATGACTCGCCGCTTGGGTGACCCTCTGCTATAGTTTTGAGTCATCCCTCCATCTTTGGTGCACAAGGAGCCGTCCTGATGGCCGCTCCACCCCCCCCGCCGCGTGGAAACAAAGGCTGCGGATCACCGCTGAGCACTGTGACCTTGGTTACGCAAACGTGCCCCCCGTTCAGCATTGAGGAGCAGGAGCAGAGGAGGGGAGGGGGTCCGGTACCCTGCGGCCCATCCCGGAATAGGCATTCTGGTTACAGGCGCGGAGTCACTCTCAAACAGAGCAGAGCACGCTGTCATTTGTTTAGCCCGCCTTGACGACGCTTCTCGTCCATCCGAGGACCGGATGACAAAGGACATGGATGTTCCCATCAAAAGGAACAAATTATTCCTTGCCGAGAGACAGATGCTGAAACACCAGAGCAAATCCAGATGAGAAAAATGCAGCCAAGGGCTCAGAATAAAATGTGAATTTAAAAGCGGCAGCTCGTGTCACTCCATACATCTGCCACGTACCTCGTCCACAGAATCCACCTCACCCCACACATGCTGACTGATCGCTGATCTATCCCTCCTGTTCACTAGCAACACTTGAAATGGAGCCAGACACAGAATCTCTCTAACAAGCATGTTTTTTTTTTTTTTTCTTGATTTTACATAGGAAAGGCTACATTTACGTCTAGTCACTTATCTGACTGCTTTGATGAAATCGGTCCTAGTCTACAGCCACTTACCCAGCTGCATCTCTCTCTCTGGCGTAGGGCACTGAGAGCGACCAGTCTCCAGGGACGGCAACAGTTACAGGTCCTTAATCGCTACATTAGCTGCCACACTATTCAGAATGTAAAAATCAATTAGGTCATTTGTCCTAGTGTAAAAGATCCAAAATAGCAACGAATCGGTGGCACCAATCACTGGGGTTAGAGC